TTTTCCATTGTGTTTTTTTTACGTAAATAGGTCCACTTTCCAATAGTATCGTTGCAGTTAGACAAGTGGTCCATTTGTTCGTGGCACTGGTTTTAAGCCCCAACCCTCAATAAATTCCTGACTGACTTACATGTTTTTATTTATATTTGGATACAGTATGTTCTCTTAGAGATTATCTATCCGCGTGTGCAGAATTAAACGATATAATACATTTTATAGCAATTCGTGGACGGCACTATATTTTGAAATTGTTAATTTATAATTTCTTGGAGAACATTTCATTTCTTTCGCAGGTCGAATATATGTTACTGTTTATTTACAAGGTGCGAGGGGTAAACCGCAACCCAAATTTTGTACACTGATTTCCTATAAATATTAGATTTCCTCTGAGTTCCTTCGAGTTCTTCAGAGTTCATTTGATTTCTTCGGAGTTTCCCTGATTTCCTCCGAGTTCCTCCAACTTCCACGAAATACCTCTGATTTCCTTGGAGTTCCCTCGATTTTCTTTTGGAGTTCCTGTGAGTTCCTCTGATTTTTTAAAGTTTTTTAATTATTTCATTGTTATTCCGTTGATTTAACAATTTCCTGGTAAGTAAAACCCGAGGTAAAACCATAAAAAAATATAAAAGTGTCAAGTGTCGAGTTAAAAAGTAATCGTAAACGATTTACATAAAGCGCATTTCCACTTGCATTCATTTCCCATTTGTAAGATGCAACTTCTGTTAAAATCGTAAAAATCCGGCCACAAATATGAAAGATAGCGTTGCACATGGGCAATCCATTTTTGACGTGCTACTTCAATTTCAGTTTATGAGAAGAATTTCATTTCAATGCTTTTCTAAATAAGAAAGTTGGAACTGCGCATGCGCAAACCTAAATTTTTAAACTAATGTTAGATTTTCCTTTGTTCCAAGCGCCTAAGTATCAAATTTCACTTAAATGGTGCCATAGATAAAAAAGTTGGCACTGCGCATGCGCAAAAAAAAATTTTGAGACTGGCGCTCGATGATCCTTTATTCCAAGTGCCTATGTATCACATTTCATTTAAATTCTTCCATAAATAAAAAAGTTGGCACTGCGCATGCGCAAAACCAAATTTTGAAATTGGCGTTTGATTTTCCTTTATTCCAAGTGCCTATGTATCAAATTTCGTTTAAATTCTTCCATAAATAAAAAAGTTGGCACTGCGCATGCGCAAAACCAAATTTTGAAATTGGCGTTTGATTTTCCTTTATTTGAAGTGCTTATGTATCAAATTTCGTTTAAATTCTTCCATAAATAAAAAAGTTGGCACTGCGCATGCGCAAAACCAAATTTTGAAATTGGCATTTGATTTTCCTTTATTCCAAGTGCCTATGTATCAAATTTCATTCAAATACTTTTATAAGTAAAAAAGTTTGCAATTCGGTTTATGGTCGAGATGCGAAAAGGGCACTGAGAATTTTGAATCGATTTGATTCAACTTTTGGCATTGCGTATTATATGGCTAAATCTATGCCCATATTGAATTTCATGCAATTCAGTTCATAACTCACGGAGATGTAAAAGCGATCGAACATTTCTAAACAAAATTATCGTTCACACGGACAGATAGATGGACAGACAGACAAAGGAACAGACGGAGAGACCAACCGGCAGGCGACAGATAGCAATGCAAAATTATAAACGATCTCTAGGATCGTTAATAAACGGCAAAAGTGTAAAATTATGGAACATGTAAAAAACGGTTTTTTGTTTTTTTTTACAATAACTTTTTTCTCCAACCACCTGAATAAGACGCTATTTTGTGACAGTGTTCGGTACGTAAAATTGACGTTTTGCGGATTAATCGCTTTCACCATGGCAACTGTACAAAAAGTGGATACTTTTGGTCCTAGTACCAAAAAGAAATTGACCTTGAAAGTTGGCCAATTAAAAAATTACAATCACGGAGATATGTCACATTGACATCGTTTTACATTGCAGGTTGTAAGATATTTCTATACATACAAATCAAATATTTTTGCATATTCAATGCAAATAATGATGTTACCTATACGTATGTACATGTATTGAAAATGATTTACGCTCGCTATTTTTATTTAAACCATGTGTAACGTAATTTACATATTCGGTGAACGTAATTTTAATACGTATACAACACGCCGTCGCGCGTATCTACTTCAGACCCATTGCACTATTATCTGTCATTTTGAATTCAAAATTTGAAAAAGTTAATTGCAATTAATTTTAATTAAAAAACTGTATGGTAAGTTTTTTATTTCAATACAAAATATAACAATATTAATTGTGTATACAATAAAATGACTGAAACTGATAGCGACATGGATTGCACTCCGCCAGAGATTATAGAAACGGCAGAACATGCTACCTCAAGATTTGCTCCCTACAAAGTCGCGAGAGGTGAGAAGTAAGAACGAATAGGTTATAAGTTAACCTAAAAACTAGAGTGGCATGACACGTGAGGACAAGAAAGCAGAAGTTCTTATACTAGTAGTGAAACTGTGACTGAATCTAAATTCGAATATAATTTGAAGTAAAGGGGGTTGGAGAAAAAATTTTATGTTTTATTCGTACAAAAAATGCGTTTTCGGGACTCGGAAGGTTGCTGGACTCCGCTAACGCGTCGTCCAGCAACTATCTTCCTCGTCCCGAAAACTGACATTTTTTGTACTAATGAAACAAATAACTATTTTTGTAAGCGGTACAGAAAAAATTCCTTCCTTGGTACAAGACTCGACACCATAACGAACCAAATAGCGAAAAAAGTAGAACAATTGCTCTTAAGATAAAGAACTAGTAGCATCGCAAAGTTAGCGGACGGACGGATAAAGACACGACCTTAGACGAAACACTATTTTATATTTTAATAGACCTATTTGCAATGAGAAAAACTCATTATTAAATGAGAGAAATACCATAAACAAATAAAAAAATTAGTTAAGACCAAATTAAATAATAAAATGCAGCACGAGTTCCTTTGATTTCTTTAGAGTTCCATTGATTTCCCCGGAGTTCCTGTGATTTCCTTGGAATTCCTCCTGAATACACATGGAATTCCTTGGAATTCTTAGCTTTCCTAGGAGTTCCTCCGGAATTCCTATGATTTCCCATAGATTTCCTCAAACGTGTACACTGATTTCCCATCGCGGTTTACCCCTCGACAAGGTGTTTCATCTGGGGGCGAGTGACCTACTTTATTAGGGCAAGATTGTTCTATATTGCACTTGATTTTGAAAATTAATTACTTTATACTAATATTTTACCACGACATGTTCCTTTGTTTTGTTGTAATGTGATACTTATGCTTCTACTTATTTGAACCGGGTAGGTAATTATGAATATTAATGTTTGAGCTGGTGTTTATTTATTTTTGAAGATATCAAAGCTGGTGCTAAAATAAAATGTTTATCACTTTTTTTTATGTCATTCGATAGAAAAAAAAAGATTAATGATGAATCTCGCTTCTGTTTGGGGAAGCATGGTGACCATATTGGAGTGAAACGAAGACGTGTGGAAGGGCACAATGTCTAATTTTCTGTTGCGGGCGGCCTATATATTGGTGGTGGTAGAACGCTATATTCTTCCGTTTTTTCAGAAGCTGGGAAATTCACTTTGTCGTCATTCGATAGAAAAAAAAAGATTAATGATGAATCTCGCTTCTGTTTGGGGAAGCATGGTGACCATATTGGAGTGAAACGAAGACGTGTGGAAGGGCACAATGTCTAATTTTCTGTTGCGGGCGGCCTATATATTGGTGGTGGTAGAACGCTATATTCTTCCGTTTTTTCAGAAGCTGGGAAATTCACTTTGTCGGCAAGGTAATGCTCGACCCCAATAAACAGTAGGTATTGTCCGGGCTGAAGAGGTCAATGTCTCTCTCTATGATCAATCAAATTTAACTCGCCTTTTCGCCGATTGAATGTAGGTACTTATCATGGAATTTGGCGAATACTTCACACAAATTCGAGAACAACACCGGCATAAATTGCAGATTCCTTGGGACACAAACGAAACCGACCATCATCTGCGCCACGAAGAGTCAAAAAGTGTAAAGCCAATAGGGAAAGGCAAAAATTAAATTAATTTCATCCTTTTTCTTTTCTCAGTTCCTAGCAGTTGAGTCTCGGCCAACGGCATTTCCGATAAAAGTACCTACCTATGTAATTTACGCATTTCTTAACTTGCGTAGGTACTCTGTGATTATCACTGATCGTCTATAATTTGATTATGTAATGTACCTACTAATATAGGAATGGGAGGTAGGTAGGTACCTGCATTGTATAAAATATGAGTAAACAAAGCTACCTGTCACAATTACTTAATTATAGTTCATAATTGAAGTAATGCCGGGTATTATATTGTTCCCAATGAAAGTGAGGGAATGGGTATATCGATATCGCTAACGATAGTTGTAAGTGGCTAAATGCTGGAGCTAAACAATCAGTTGGGAATGTGGTCACCTACATTTCATCATGGACCTACGTATTCCAAGAATGTGGAGACTAATTTTAAATTCACTTTGCACTAAAAAACAAACAAAGTTCTAGTAATTTGCACTTTCATTTGCATTCGCTCGGTGGTCAGGGTCTGCATTACATTCCACGCCCTATTAAGAGCATGTGACAACATTTGCTAGGTGAAGCTCTTTGTGTCTTAAGACCAAGGTACCGGAAATAACATTATTTTCAGTTTATTGACACATATTTTATGCAATTTACTGAACAATGAGAGTGAAGCGCGCCTAAATTACCGTCGTAGGTCACGCCAAAATAAGATGTCATCCACGAACTATGTACCTGTAATAGCAATTCGGGACCCAACCCACCCCATAAAATTTATAATGGTTGGATAACAGGTAATGAAGGAAAGAATTTCACATTAAACGAATTAATCAAGAGCTTACGTTCACGCCGGCAACAAATATTTAGAAAGAGATATTCATTTTAGGGGGAATTTACTTGAATCACGACTGTTACTAAAATCGATAAAGTTCAGTTTCGTTTGCCTCGCTTTATATAAGTAAAACCTACACCGCCCTAATGTATTTTTACACCTGGTTTCAACAGGATGCTTGATGCAGTTCGGTTTCGGTGCCTTTTGGTTCTTATACTTCATTTTGTTTGTCATTTTCAAAGGATACGGGTTTAGTTTGTTTCGTGATTTTAATTTTTAAAGCGCGTGATTTCATTATCGGCGATAGAGGTGAGTCTCTTTAAATGCTAAAAAATGGTTCGATAGTTCGGCATTGATTTTTCAAGCCTTTTTAGTGACACAGGCCAAAAACTAAGCATTGTTTCTATTTAACATAGAGCAAGAATCTAGATTTAAAAGAAATTGAATTGCAAATATAACTATATATGATAACTAAAGCAGTGGCGTAACAAAGCAGATGTACGACTGAATTAATTAATGACCGACAGTTCTTAATTCTTCAATTAGCTTTATTACTTTAGGCAGATACATACATCTTTGTTTAATCGGTTTTAATTGATATTACGCGCCGTCTCTGTTATTATTCTATTTCGTTTTTATCTCGAAAAAGAATTAATTATTGTAGCTCGCTGAGTTAGATCTAAGTCGATGTTTGCATTGTTTTGAATACAATTAACCACGCATGGTGGAATACAAAACTTTAAATTGTAGAAAGTGTTCCATTTGTAACTGCGTAAAATAATTTGATGTGCGTCATTGTAATGCCTAATTTTTGTACAGTGGGCGATTTTTGAATGTTGCCTCCATTGTGCGCGAATGATTCTCGAAGGCGAAGACCATTCTTTAGTGAAATTAATTTGCCAGAAGATTGGAAAATTGGTAAGCACTTTTCTCGCATACCATTAGTCATACCATGCCATATATCATTAGGTATCGTGTTTCACTCTTTGCACTAAACCTTTTTGAGGCAATGAGCCTACTTAGGCAGTATATAATGAAAACAACATCGTATTCAATATTTCTATACTTAAATAGACACAGAACAAGGTAAGTGAGTAATTGGCGAATAGAGGGGATCGAGAAGAGTAACCACCATCAATCACTCTTTCTAAATAAACCAATTGTCTCCATGGGCACAGATAAAATACTCAATTTTAGCTGTGCCTAGGACACGCAGTTGTAAATATATCTACCTACTCCAAATAACTCATGGCATACGGAAATCTGGAAACGTCAATTTTGTTCCTGTAGCTAGCGCAACTTACGTTGAAATTTATAATCATTTCAGGTTTGAGACTGCTTATTGTAAAAAAAAAACAATCTGAGACATTAGGTACATCATGATTCATGAAGGTAAAATGAGCCTTTAGGTATCGCTCTGTTGCTCTCTAAGAAGTCCAGTAGATTTTTGAAATTCCGAACTTTTTTTTATACCTTTTATTATACAGGAAATTCATAAATATATGATGTAAATACAGAAGGGACTAATTTTTTTAGCTTATTTTATGACTTAAAAGGTCATGCAAACATAGGTCCGCAAACGGTTCGTTACCGATCTACAGGGGGTTTACATTTTCTCTTTATACCCCCTGCAGTTTTTGTTTTTAAGATATTTCCCTCAAGTTTGAAATAAAAGTTACGCTAAAGGGCATTTGCCGTGTTAATGGTAGTGAGAATCTACAGGGTGTTGCTTTTTCAGGGAGCATGTTCTATTTTCTACCCTGGACTTTTTTCGGTGCGCCACTGCGGTAGATTGTGAAACAAGAATTTAATTTTCTGATTCGTTTAGAAACATTTAGTCTCGTAATTTTTAATGTCTGTGACTGTTATCGAGAAAAAAATACAAATAATCAGTTTTCGCTAGTTAGCTAAATGAAAGTATAATTTTTAAAACGGTCCAGTAGGCTCTGGTTTTATTTGGATAGTCTCTTGTTCTTATTAGTTTTTACAGTTTACATTTGAAATTGTATCTTGTGTTTGCTTATGTTTATAAATTAAACCTTTACATTGTAAAGTGTACTGTTTAACTATAACACCCTGTAGATAGAAACATTGACGGACATATGTTTAGTTATAAAACAAGTGAATGAATTAGACTCTTCCGTATTTACATCATATTTAGGAACACCCTGTATATTATATATTAAATAAGTATGGAACTTTTATATCTAAGCTCGTTTGGTAAACTTGGCGAGGTTATTCGTATTTATTTTTGTTTTTTTCGAATTTTGGTAACGAATAGGTATCTATAGAAAAAAACGGTTTGCGATTTTTACAATATGACTTCAATGCATCGTTATTGTTGTTGACCTGCATTAAAAATAAGAAATGCAGCCAAAGCCACGGCCAATTCACTTTTACTCCTTTTGATTAAAAGTACCTCGCTATTTGCATGAAAACTGGGAAAGTTTTTATGAACTGTTGCCTTCGCTCTCCAAAAAGTATTTAACTTTTTAAAGGCACTTTCAAGGGCACTTTGCAGATGGTAATCTGAATATTTGGCACGGAACGAGAAGGATTGCCTTTCTAGCAATTTTCTTTATTATAAGTGAGCTAATAGAGACTAAGTTATTTAAAGTTTGTTCTTGAAAGAAGTGGCAAATATTGCCGAGCAAGGGTGAATTGCACCTGACGGATAAACCACCTCACCTAGCAAAAATGTTTACACCAAAATTTTATAGTTAAGTGTAAAAGAATTTCAGAATTCCGTAAAAATTCCATCGAACTTCCCAAACATTTCTAAAACTGGAAAAGAATTTGGATTGAATTTCAGTGACTTTCAGAAATAATTCCAATCCGACCCTACAATCCGGTTCTAGCTCTGATTTTCTTTAACAGACGCACAAAAACACAATCACCAACTGATGATGCTTCTGAGTTGTCGTCTCTTTTACTCACATTAAATTAGTCCCCCTCCCCCCAATTAAAAATAAAATGTGAAATAAAATAAATTGTGCTGATCCAATTTTAATTTGTGCTGATTTTGAAAATCCGTTTTCCTCGAATTGAAACTACCTAGACTAGGCTAGTACAAGAGAGATATTCGATCATGCCAAACTGCGATCAATCACTGTCTGGTTTCGGGTACCAAAATCCACCAAAATGTGAAATGCGCGTGAACGGGACGTCAAAAATCGGCACCGACAAAGGGAATGTGATTGCCCCCGACAAGATCATACTGATGGTGGAGTCAAAACTTCAAACGCGAATTGATAGTGAACGGAACGTCGAAAGTAGGTACCGACAAAGGGAATGTGGTAGCCACCGACCAGATCTTAAGGACAGTGGAGTCAAAACTTCAAACGCGATTGCGTGTAAAGGGGACATCGGAAGCGGGTACCGTCAAAGGGAATCTGGTAGCCCCCGACAACATCTTACTGATGGTAACTGCTCTAACTGAACATAAATAATCTGATCTACAGGACCTTTTGTTCTCCCTTGTATACTGAGCTCCACAGTAAGTGCGAAGGTGAGACGTCCGTGTAATAAGTTTTATCTTCCGCTTTCCTCTGCCACCCGGAGTATCTGTCTCTTGATGATTTGATGGTGACTATGTCAAATCTTCCGTTCACAAATCGGGTGGAGGATTACTAACGTCTTCTTGGTGAATATGTAAATCGTGCGCAACCTGGCAAAGCTTTATAGGCAGATGATTTTCAGCGAGAAATGCTGATTTTGCATTGCGAATGTCGCTCTTATATGGATCCGGTTGTATTAAGATAACAACGTTGCACGCATTAAAGATAATATGACAACCCATATAAAAAATATTCGCGCGTTTTGGAGGAGTTTTCTCATCCGGCCGGAGCACTGGTATCAGGGAGTAGGAAGATGCGTACTAACTACGTATTAAATTGTAAAGCAATAGCGTGTGGTCGGTACGATGTCAGAACGAGACAGGAAACTTCGTCTCACTTTAGCGTGTGGTGTCTTACGGTGTTTTCTTATACAAATCATGATCGCGCACATGAGATGAAAACCATTACTGTATGGTAATACACAACTAGATGCAAACATACCCAGGATCGCTTTCCATTGTATTGCAAAGATCACACCGTAGATTTAAGCTACTCAGGGACGTGAGCTCATAATATTTTGTAGAATTGATTTTGTTTTTGTATTAACCTTTAGTTGTATAATGCCGGCCCGTGTAGTGCAGTTGAGTTGAAGCTCGGCTGCGGTACTAAAAGGGTCCCTGGTTCGAATCCGCTTTCGGGTATGCATATTTGTAAATGTATAGTGGGTTAGGTTGGTAGAGCAGCCTTGGCCTCTCAAAAATAAAACCCAAATAAATAAATCATAGCTCACAATCGAAGTCAAGTTTTTATTTCCATTTACAGAAAACCCAAAATTCGTAACAAACCAGGCAAGCTTTTCTAAATTAACAAAAAAGGTGCACCCATTTACCATAAAAAAGTTGGTAGGTATTCGTATGTCAGTTACTGCGTTAGGTTGCATTGCTACATAGCCGTAAGGTCGGGTGTTCGAACCTGGGTTGAGGTGAATTTTTCATTTGTGGCAGAGATCGGAATTACCTTATAGTTTCGAGCATTCGGCTACTCTGAATTAGGTTTTCCTGTAGTTTTCCTAATTCGTAAGGTAAATCCCGGAGTAGTATAGAACAACTTAAGACTTTCTGCAGGAGTATCTCTAAAAAGCATTATGCGGGTCACTCTGTAATTGGACGAAAGCTTGTTGAGGGCCCAGAACAAGAGAGGGACAATAAATAAATAAACTGCCGTCTTGAATTTCATTTTGTTATAATTTTTGATTTTGTCTCATCAAAATGAGAACCTTTCATATTAAACTTCGACGAACGTTTTCATTTTTTTTAAATCATTTTTATTCGGGCCCTATCGTCAAGTTTTCTAAACAGAATTCTAACATTACAAAACTTATGTAACCAATCTGTATCTATACATGCACTAATAAGTAGACCCTGTACAGAACAACTGCGCACATTGAAGAATGCACTAAAAATACATGATCAAACACTTTTTTTTAACTTTGTGTCATTATCCGTCAAAATATCGTTAGTTATAAACAAAAGGAGGGTATAGCGTAAATTTTGCGTATAGCCCCTCACCTTCGAAGCACTTCGTTCATTGTTTCATTAACATCATATCATAATCAACCCCACTTGCCTAAAAATGAAAACGGTACCTAACTAATCATATCATAATTACCTACCAATAATTATTTAACAGTCTATTTTGTTTCAGATCCATAGCAAAAACAATGTAAACATGAATTTGCCAACTAGAAATGGAGTAAATCCACCAACCACCACAACACAAAATCTACCTCTTCCTCCACCTCCAACAAAAATGAGGCACATGCTTCCTACAATAAGCTCTCTTAAGAATTTTCTTCCCGCCCTCACATTTCTTGTCGCCTTTGCTACTGTAATGACCGTCCTTGTTATACACATGAACAATACGGGTAAGAACATGTGCCTGCATCTCGGTAGATAAATTAGCACAACCGTTTGCAGCAACTCGCCATCATCAATTTCTGGTGAACATGAGTAGAGACAACGAATTCTTAGGGGTCGCACAAGATAATCCCGAACTCATAACTTACATACGAGAAGTTCACCTAAGCCCAGCAGTGGAACCACACCACAAGCCATTAGAAACATTAGGTCCTTTCCCTACAGAGGACACGGCTTACATAATAAAACTGCTTAACAACAAGGTAAGTAAAGTATTCATTTAGATCGCATTCTTTAATTCAATAATGTTACAGAAAGAGGGAATTTTTGTGGAGGCGGGCGCGTATAGTGATGGTAAGGTTTCAAAAACGGAATATCTAGAAAAACGAATGTCATGGCACGGGTTGCTCATTCAGCCAGAACCGACTCATTATTTTAAATTGAAGAGGCATAATCGGGGACGCTCGCTAGCCATCCACGCATGTCTTAGTTCTACTCCATATCCAAAGGAGGTAGGTTCTTCTTTATTTTACTTAATTGCGCCAAACTTATAAAATTGTGCACATTTGAAAGGCAAATTCTACAACCTTTATTATAGTTAATTGAAGTAAAGTTTTGTTTGTTAAACGCAAACATTTGCATGAAATTTAAAGGTGTTGCGTTTTTCTATGCTCCTGTATGTGATATTTCTCTGCGTTTTTGTGAAAATTAATGGAGCGGTTTCTCCATTATTTTAGACTACCTACCACTTTTCCCCTAACAAGGTAAGTTACCTATGTTCCATGCGCCATTTTTTTGAAATGAGGCTGTGTGCTATACAGTGTCTATCAACTGTAGCTGTAGATGAGTAGTAGATCAGATGAAAGATGAATAGAGCAGAGCAGAGTGGTACCACCACAGACTTTTGTGCAGTTTGAACATTAAAGGGGCGCAAAATAAACGTATATATTTCTCATTTTTTTAACCCTTCTATACCAAATTTGTTACATATTGTTGCGTGTGTAAGTGATAGGTATTTTTTGTGGACTGTATATGAATGTAATTGCTTGCTATGCTTTTGTATAAGAGGGAGGTTGTAATATTGACACTGATGTGATGATTAACGTGTTTATTGATTAAAAATACAAATAAAGTAAATTGATTCTAAATCTTGATTTGGTGATCAATACGGCACATGTACTAGAAATTGGAAACTGCGAAAGTAATATAAGTGAAAGCGCTTACTGGCTGTTGTTCTGAAATCTTCCAAAGCGATGGCGACCGAGAAGGGAAATTTTTGCATTGCCCTTTTCGATAGCGATAACGAGGATTTCTGGCTGGTTAATTAAACGACAAAGGCGATGGTTGGCGAGGAAAGCTTTCGCAGCGAAGTTCGACGAAAATGGCATGCCCATTATTTATGGTTGTAGGTACGACAACGCGACGTCTTGTATTCTTGTTCGATTGTTGTTCGACGAATACGCAAATTGCATCGCACAGAGGGACAGGCAAAATAGTTATACCTACGTGCTAACAATAATTTCTTTGCAGGAACTTTCAACTTTTAAAGGAACGAATTCTGATTTAGGGATGCAACACATATTTAACTGTTATAATAACAACTGAAAAATGGTCACCCAAATGGCTGCCAAGGACAAAAAGAGTACGACTGAGAATGTCCTTGACATTTGATTAATAAATCCAAAATCAAAGTAATTTGTGAAGTGCACAGAATGTAACTCATCTTTGGTGCAAAGAAATTGTTTGTGAGGAATTGGGCGGAAAATTACATAGTCGAACGAAAAAATTAGTGGAATTCACTGAATTGCAACGCATATATCGCACATTGATGATGATGAAACTGAAGTTCTTGTTAGCAGGATCTCACCCCTGGGATAGGTACAGGAAATTCAAGTCTACAGTTGGGAGTCGAGGTCAGTCCTGGCATTAGGTGTCGTAACGACAAAATTAATGGAAATCCCTGAAATGCGAATATCGCACATAGATTTTAAACTGAAGTTCTTGTTAGCGACATCTCGTCCCTGGGATAGGTACAAAATTCAAGCCTACAGTTGAGAGTCGAGGTCAGTCCTTGCATTAGGTGTTGTAACTGGATGTGGTTACAGTTTTTAGCCACAAAAGAAAAGCACACGTTATGACTCAATCAAGAAATTATACAGTTCACAAATGAATAATTTTTATTATAGGTACTAATAAGCTACGAACCATCGCTCAATGATCTTTCAGACTGAAAGTCCAGGTGCATGCTGAACTACTTTCCAATTGCGAAAATAATAGAGAAATAGGAACTGAAAAGTGGTAAAGCATTGTAACATCAGATAAATGATTATTTGTCGATATAAATGTGGATTTTTGGTCATTTTTTTTTCGTTCGCATAATTCTGATGTGCTGTGTGTATCTCAATTAGGTACTTGATGTTTTAGATTATAGGTATAGGTACCTTAAACGAGCTTCCCAATTCAATTACAAAATCCATTACTAACTCTGCTATCTTTCCAGATTACTTTCCACCAAGAAGATCGCGATGGAGTAAAAATCAATCAAATCCATACAAACACAGTAGAGGATCCAGATTGGTTCAACACACGGGTCAAATGTTTTCCCTTCTATTCGCTTCTACTGGCGATGAACATAAGTTCGGTTGATTTATTCATTCTAGAGTCGGGCGGTACAGAGCTACAAGTTTTACAAACTATACCATTCGACCGGGTGTCAATCGATATAATTAATGTACAAATACAGGCAAACGATTCTGAAAAGGACACAATTAAGAAGTTTTTGATATCGAAAAATTACACATTCACGCAAAGCTTTAACAGCAATCACGTATTTAGACTGAAACATTCTCAAGTTTAGAGTAAATTAAGATTTAGTTTACAAGTCACTCGTTAAGCTATGAACCGTTACGTACGAAAGACATGAAAGAAGACTGATTACTGCTGTCTGATTATCACTAGTGTTATGTATTTTTTAAAAACACACTCACTCAGTGCTTAAAATGCGGTTAGCATTTAAAAGTTACTAGCTTTATGAAATGTGCCTACATTTGAATATTATACCTAAGTACCTACCTACCCGTTACCACTTGTACGCACACATTTATCTTACTAGGTTACTAGAATGCATTTAATAATTCATCACATTCCGTATGAAAGCAATAACTCTGTTAATATCATTTTTGTTTACCAGATTTGTGATATTTTATGCTTTTGAAATTTTTGGAATAGGTAATTTTTATGCTACATACCTAATAGAAGGTAATTTTTTTATTCAATTTCACACCTTTTTGTGAAATTCGTACTTACCTAGAGACCTACCTATAAGTAGTTTCGTAAGTGATTTATTATGTTAAGATAAATTTTAAAAATATAGACTGTTTCGGCATTTATTTAACGTTCCTAATTTGGCTAGTATAATCTACCATCTTTAATTTCAAAACGTGACCTCAATAATTTTTCAGTTGTAATGGTCGTAGAAATAACGTGAGAACTGCACATGTGGAAAAAAATTGCAAATAATACTTAACAACTGAATTGTTTTCTAGATCCAATTATTTTTATGAACTCTGATAAATTCATCAAATGGTTAGATAAATATGTTTCAAAAGTCTCCTCAGTGGTGTAGTGGGGTCGGTACTCAGTTCAGGCAAAATTATTCCAAGAGCCTATATACAAGGTGTTACATGACCGCATGTAAAAAAAAATCGGCGATAGAGGGGATCAGAACAAGCACTTTTCCCAAATAAACCGAGGATCCAATGTGTTTGGTTTGGGAGCTACCCGCAAAGAAGTGGTGAACTTTCGATTTCTTATTTAATTTTTTTCTCGGCAACCATAAGAGTTACAAAGACGGATGGCGCGTCTTTAGGTTTTCAGGTATGCCCTATCCGATTTTGAAAAAAAAATTCAAAATTCCTACCACGAAAGGGCGCGCGAAAAAAATTCTGATTTCAACGGCATTTAGTATCTGGGGTTTTTTTTTACATGAAAATGACGAATTAGTTTTTGAAAATTCGAAAAAAAAGTTCCACTGCAATTCTTGGCCGGACAACGAAAATGGAGAGAATTCCACGAAATTTGTTGCGTACATACTTGATGAGTTAAGGTCTAAGAAACAAAATTGTCAAACAGTTTTTTTAAATAACTTTTTAAACAAAAGTTATCCTTTGAAGATTGGGCATTTGGGTTGCAAAGTGTCCCCCGCCTACTAGTGAGTGATCTTATTTCGCATGTAGTTAATTGAAACCCTTGGAATAAAAGACTATATTATTTGCAACATTTTCATGAGAAATTAGATCACTCACTAGTAGGCGGGGGACACTTTGTAACCTGAAGGTCCAATTTTCAAATGCGTATACTTCACTTTTGTTTAAATTAAGTACCGCCTACAGTAGAATCCAAGAATCGGTTCTTATGGCCGTTTGCACTGACGAATTTAAGCCAAGCTTAGCTTAAAATCCATGGCAACGATTATTGAGACTACGACGTAGGGCGAGAATCCCTGTGCCGTGTGCGTAAAGAATTTGGGTCATTTACGGTTGTGTAAATCCTTTTTAGTAAGGAATCGCCTGCAATCAGTATTTAACAACTGTCAAAAAAATATTTGTAGAGTTCAATATTAGGTAAGTACCTATGATTTAATATAATATATAATTATGTACAAAAATATAGGATTTGAAAAAACAATGTAATCAGGAAAAGGTAGGCAAAAAATGACGTTAAGATATACAGGGTGTTGCATTTAAAAAATACCAACTTTGGATCAAATCCCAAAAACGGTGGTCCAAGGGTTTTTTTATTACGCCACTGGATTGTACGCAAAAATATCTAAACTATATAGGCAGGTTGTTTTGTATCTTACATGGGTACTCAGGTATGATAACATCCCAAAAAGTCAAATCATTGAAGATAGTTATAAATTCAATGGTCAAACTGTTCGTTTTCTTGTCTTATTTCATCGGATCGGTCATTGATTTTTGATCGCATTGTATATGCTCGAATCACCCTGGGATCCATAGTGTAATGTGTGTTGCCTATAATAAATGCTATGCAGATGCTATCACAGATTTGAGTGTTTAAATCTGTGATGTAATTACATTCATTGCTAATGTGTGAATAATTGACGGACCTGTGGTAAAAGAAACCGGTCCCAGGAAAAATTCACATGATTAGGTGGAGGTAATTACCAAAGTAAAGATAAAAATAAAATGTAAAGCAACTCCACACTACCTTTAAAATGCCAATTGTCTTTATGTTTTAATGTCATACAAATGTTTTTGTTTTCACAATACCTTTAATACTACCTACTTACCAGTTCTAATTCGATATAGGTACACCTTTTGATTCAGCCTATAGATTTCACGAGGTCAAATCTTCAGGCTGGGAACATCATTGACAATTTAGATAAATTGTAGTGTTTTTATATATGAAAAAGTTTTCAGGTGGTTCTTCAGGTATAATTTTTTTATTTGTCTTATAATCACAATTAGTAAATTTATAATCATTAAAATCCTTAGGTAGGTATGTAATTCAAGGGGTGATTTTTGAAGTAGGTACATAGTATATTTCTCCTAGTATTAATTATTTGTGGCAATATGACAATAATCAGCACATTTAAAGTCCTTAGACACTTTATGTTTTAAAAGATGTTTTTTAAAGTAGTATTTATTATTTGTGCCAAAATCACAATCATCACATTTAAAATCCTTAGAACCTTTATGCTTTAAAAGATGCTGTTTGAAAATGCGTTTATCATTTGCCCCATAATTACAATCACTACATTTAAAGTCTTTAGAAACTTTATGTGTTAAGAGATGTGTTTTTAAGTAATATTTATTACTTGTACCATAATCGCAAGTAGCACATTTAAAATCCTTCGAAACTTTATGTGTTAAGAGATGTGTTTTTAAGTAATATTTATTACTTGTACCATAATCGCAAGTAGCACATTTAAAATCCTTCGAAACTTTATGTGTTAAGAGATGTGTTTTTAAGTAATATTTATTACTTGTACCATAATCGCAAGTAGCACATTTAAAATCCTTCGAAACTTTATGTTTCAAGAGTTGTGTTTTATTATTTGTCCCATAATCACAATCAGAACATTTAAAATCCTTTGAAACTTTATGTTTTAAAAGATGTTGTTTGAAGTTGCGTTTCTCATTGGTCCCATAATCACAATAAGCACATTTAAAGTCCTTAAAAACTTTATGTTTTAAAAGATGTTGTTTTAAGTAGTATTTGTTATTTGTGCCAAAATCACAATCAGCACATTTCAAGTCCTTAGAAACTTTATGTTTTAAAAGATGTCTTTTTAAGTCGTATTTAGCATTTGTCTCATAATCGCAAGTAGCACATTTAAAATCCTTCGAAATTTTATGCTTCAAAAGATGTTTTTTTAAGTAGTATTTAGTATTTGTCGCATAATCACAAGTAGCACATTTAAAATCCTTCAAAATTGTATGTTTTAAAAGATGTTGTTTGAAAAGGTATTTATTATTTGTCGCATAATCACAATCAACACATGTAAATGCCTTCGAAACTTTATGTTTTAAAAGATGTTGTTTGAAATGGCGCTTATAATTTGTGCCATAAGCACAATCGGCACATTTAAAGTCCTTAGAAACTTTATGTTTTAACAGATGTCTTTTTAAGTAGTATTTATTACTTGTCTCATAATGGCAAGTAGCACATTTAAAATCTTTCGAAACTTTATGTTTTAAAAGATGTTGTTTGAAGAAGAAGTGTTTATTATTTGTCCCATAATCGCAAGTAGCACATTTAAAAAATTTGTCCTTAGAAACTTTATGTTTTAAAAGATGTGTTAAGTTCCATTTATCATTTGTCCCATAATCACAATCAGCATATTTAAAATCTTTTGACACTGATTTACACTCAGTTAACAGGTGAAAGTCAAAGTGTTGCTGTACTTCTTCCTTGACTTCTTCATTATCTATAAATTTATAACATGGTGTACTACTGATGGTAATTTCCTCCTTTATTGTAAAAGCTTCGTTGGTCACCAAAATATTTCCCTGAAGAGAGTAATGGGAATCTTCTTCTTGTTTTGGTTCAGTTTTAATGATTGGTGTACCATCATCTCTGTCCATACCTAAGAACAATAATGTTATCAAGAAATATGTTACTCTAATACTTTAGCACATAGGTATATAACTAAAATCTATTTTGGTGTAGGGTGTAGCGTGTAGCATTTGTTGTGATCGAGGTTGTGATAGTATTATGTACACAGAACATATGCATACTATGCTGGCTCTTGGCCAACGGACAATTTGCCAAAGTGCTAAAGGTACTACTATTATTATGGTGACTATATGTACTTTTTTTAGTAGGACAGTACTTTCTTTTCAAACGCTGTCCTATTGTCCTTTACGATTTATCAAGTACACCTAAAATGTACTCTTTTTCTTAATTACACAAAATAAAAGTCATACCTTTTGTCCAAACGAAATATAATTCTTGCATGTCTTTGGTCATAAATGCTTTGACGTATTGCTTAGTTGGATTTTGATCCGTTGTGCAGAAATCTATCGATGAAATGTTTCAATTCTTAAAGAGTAAACCACAACTTTTGAAGGAAATTCATGGTTCCAAAAAGTACGACTGGTACCAAAATGATGATCAAAATGTTCAGGCAGGAACGCCAGAGGAAAATTAACTTTTAAAATTTATATATACAAATAAAGATAAGTAATTTATGTACCTACCTATGTTTGATAAAAAAAAACTTTTTTTTCTTACTGTTTGATTAGATTCGTAATATTGTGACCAGAAAAATTTCCTAGAGTATTAGCAGTGCATTCGCTTATAAATTATAAATGTACTTTTTCTTGTTGAAAAATTATGGTCACTCTAACTATTATATTAAAAAGTATACCCTCTGATGGTAGTCTCGGATCTTAGACTAATACATTTGTCATTCATTCAAATGTAACTTACAGACTTGACATTTCACATCTATCCTGTCACAAGGGGGTATATTTCCATATCGAACATTTATACCTAATGGATGTACTTGCAATGAAACTTTTTGATGGAATTACTCAATGGTTTTTCTTAAAATCTTATAACGATCTTATTTGTTTTTATGACAAATAAAACTAGATTTAGTATGCTTGAAATCATGAACATCATTTCTAATAACCTGACCTTTATCAGAACTTACTATAAGCTGTGCTCGAGGCTGTGCTTCAATCCTCTGCTCTTCAACGTGAAAGTAAATGAAAGGAAAATGTAGACACTTACCTAATCCTTTAGAATCAAATTTCGAAAGAAAAAGGAACTGGGGCAATCACAACCATCTACCTACCATCCAACATTTTGAATTACCCACAAGGAAAAAAAAGAGCTTAAGCGTAGACTTAAACCATAGTTTAATACTCATCGAATCCCTGTTTGTTAACTACGAATATTAAATACAGAGTGAGGCAGAAAAGACGGATATTTTAAAAACATTGTTGTGTACGCACGGGAGACGCTGGCTGGTACGCCACTGGACAGGAATGGCAGAGACGCTAGAATAAGTGAGGTTGTGTTCGAGCATGACCATGTATTGTTTGAGGAATTCTCGTGTATCTTTTTGAGTTATTAAAGTAGCATATTTATAACATTGGCGCAGTCGGTAGGATTGAAACATAACACAGTGCAATGGCTACCATCGGGATGGTCGAACCGTTCGATACGGAACACCCGGAAAATTGGGACGCCTACGCGGAAAGGGTTGACTTCTTCCTCGAGGCCAACGGGATCACCACCGATGGCGACAAAAGGGCTGCGTTCCTAAGCATTTGCGGTCCTACCACGTACAGTATTTTAAGATCGCTGGTGCAACCACAGCAAGTAAGGGAAACCCCACATACGGAGATCATGCAAAAACTGAAGGCACATTTTGCTCCGAAACCGTCAGAAATTGTGTGCCGGTTCAAGTTCCATCAGCGGCGCCAGCAACCCGGGGAGGGTATGGCGAAGTTTATAAACGCACTACGCAATCTGGGAGAGGGCTGCAATTTTGGCTCTGTGTTAAATGACATGATCCGCGACCGCATCGTGTGCGGAGTGGCCGAGGAATCCCTGCAACAGCGACTCTTGGCAAAGGAAACCCTTACCTTGGAGGTGGCGCAAGCAACAGCTTTGGCATTCGAAGCAGCTGCAAGGAATGTATCGGACCTGCGAGGAACTCCTGAGGGCTTTCTAAAGAAAATAGATAATCGGAAGGAAATGACAAAGTTATGTTTTCGGTGTGACGAATCGCATTCATCGGAAACATGCAGGTTTAAAACAGCGGCGTGCCGTTTTTGTGGAAAGATGGGGCATATCGAGAGGGCATGTTTGAGGAAGAAACGGAACAGGGGTAGTAAGCGGTCCGAGCAGGTGAAAGCAGTGGCGTCTGACAACGATTCCGGTCGACAAAATGAGAGTGACAGTGAAGAGGGCACCGAGTATTCTATTCACAGAGTATCCCCAGGAGATCCTGGTAAGCTACAAGTTAAGTTGTTACTTAATAGTACTGCATGCTGTTTGGAAGTCGACAGTGGCGCGGCTTATACCGTCATTAGTGCCAGCTGTTTCAATTCATTACGAAGGAAGCCCAACTTAGAACGGAACACAATCATATTACGGGACTATCAGGGCAATATGATTGAGACACTGGGGACGGGGTACGTACGTGTCGAATACAAAAACGTGCACAAAACTCTTCCTGTGATCGTAATTAAGGGAACGCGCGTGGTGAATCTTTTGGGGCGAAACTGGTTTGAGCCATTGAACATTAATGTGTCTGGGATTAACCAAGTGCACAACGCGGTACTTAATAACGTGATTCAAACTGAACTAGAAAGCGAATTCGCGGAAGTGTTTGACGGGACTTTGGGCGTGTTCCGAGGCCCTCCAATTAGCCTCAATTTACCACGAGATGTCAATCCCATTGTGTGTAAGGTACGAAAGGTCCCATTCGCATTACGACCTCTGATTGAGGATGAGCTGGAACGCCTACAGCAGCAGGGAGTTATTGAACCTGTGACGCACCCCAGATGGGCCACGCCCATAGTTCCGGTGGTTAAGGCATCGAATGAGATCCGGTTGTGCGCCGATTATCGTATAACTGTGAACAAGGTGTTGCGACCAGAGACCTACCCCATTCCGAACGTGCAGGATATGCTGGCCAACCTAGCTGGAGGTCGTGTTTTCGCAAAACTTGATTTGACACAGGCATACCAACAGCTGACTGTCGATGACGAAGCCGCCGAGGCACAAACTATAATCACACATAAGGGGGCGTTCCGGGTGAAACGTTTGCAATTTGGGATTAGCAATGCACCACAAATCTTTCAGCAGCTAATAGATCAGAGGCTGCAAGGCATACCAGGGGTCATGCCCTATTTTGACGACATTCTGGTGGTTGCTAAGGATGAGGCACAGTTGTTAGGACGATTGCGGGAAGTTCTGACCAGATTTAGAGAAGACGGCCTTAAGCTGAAGAAGGCAAAATGTGTATTCAACGTACATGAAATCGAATTCCTGGGTCATAAGATTAGTTCCAGAGGACTAGAGCCAGCAGAGGAAAAAATTCAAGCGATCATTCGAGCACCGGCCCCAAGTAATGTTACGGAACTGCAAGCCTTCTTGGGATTGGTCAATTTCTATGGGCCATTCCTCGAATCGAAAGCAACAATAGCGGAGCCACTGCATAAGTTACTGCATAAAAATGTAACATTTAGATGGGGAAGAGACGAAGCACAAGCATTTGGGCGTGTTAAGTCGCTATTAACGAAAAAACCCATTTTATGCCATTACCATGAAGGTAGGAAACTAATCTTAACCGTAGATGCGAGTTCGTTTGGAGTAGGCATGGTTCTCAGTCAGCCGCAGGAAAACGGAAGGGAGGCGCCCATCGCATTCCATAGCCGTACGTTGTCAAAACCGGAAAGAAACTTTGCCCAGGTGGATAAAGAAGCGTTAGCCATCATGGTGGGAGTTAAGAAATTCCACAACTACATATTCGGACGGAAGGTTGAAATTCGAACAGACCATAAGCCCTTGCTGGGAATCCTGGGAGAGAATAAGCATTGCCCAAACGAAATATCGCCCCGCATGCTGCGCTGGAGGTACAATTTGAGCGCATACGATTACAATTTGGTCCATGTAGCGGGTAAGAAAATTCCACATGCTGATGCCTTGAGTAGGCTTCCGCTACCGACAACTCGAGAAGATGTTCCGAGATGCGCGGATGTCCTGATGTTTGAGTGTGTGGAAGAATCTCCAGTATCTGCCCAAGATGTAGCTAGACAAACTGCTAAGGATCCCGTCTTAGCTCATGTAAGAGATTTTGCATGAAGTGGATGGCCCACATCGCTAAGGGACCTGCAATCTGATATTAAGCCATACTGGACGCGGCGGAATGATATCACGTCGTATAGGAATTGCCTGTTGACTGGAACCCGTGTCATTATCCCGCCGGGAGAGAGAAAAAGGATTCTGCAGGTGTTGCACGAGGCTCACCCAGGGATCGTTCGCATGAAGGCGCTGGCAAGAAGTTATGTATGGTGGCCAGGAGTGGACTCGGACATCGAGGATTTTGTTGCCAAATGCGAAATATGCCAGCAACACAGACATATGCCACCCAAGGCTCCCATTCACCCTTGGGAGTTCGCAAGGGAACCATGGCAGCGCATTCACGTGGACCATGCCGGCCCAGTGAACGGGAACTATTTTCTCCTGGTTGTTGACTCGTACAGCAAGTGGTTAGAGATGAGACGAGTCCCTTCCCTTTCATCGACAACCACCATCCAAGTATTACGGGAGATATTTGCGACACATGGGCTGCCGGACGTCATAGTCAGCGATAACGGCACAGCATTCACGTCTGAAGAATTCAAGCTTTTCGCTAAGAAGAATGGATGCCGAGCAGTGAATGTGGCCCCGTATAAGCCATCATCAAATGGGCAGGCAGAGAGGATGGTGCAATTTGCGAAAGACTCGCTGAAGAAGATGGGCAAAGGGGACGTGGAGACCAGGATCTCTCGATTCTTATTGGCCCAACACGCGACGCCGTGCACAACAACAGGACAATCACCTGCCGAATTATTGATGGGCCGGAGGATCACCACTGCACTGGATCGCATTAAACCCAGCTTGACCACGGAGATGGATCAGAAAAGGGACCAGTTGTTAGGGACAGAAGTGCGAAGCTTCAAGGAAGGACAACATGTAGGTGTTCGTAGTTACGTGCCGGGAGACAAGTGGATTCCAGCCCAGGTTATGCAGAAAACAGGACCAGTGTCATACAAAGTACAGACTCCGGAGGGGAAGTTGTTGCATCGGCACAGCAACCAAATGGTTACACGTCCCATCGAACAAGAAGTCCCCGGGATAGAAACATCTTCAGAAACAGATGAAGACAAACAAGAAGCCATTCCGGAACGGGCAGAGCAACCTATGGCATCGCCAGAAGGTTCTCTTAGAGCGAAACTCCCATCACCAGAAGGAGGAACCACGCCACGTCCCAGCACACCACGGCCTGAGCGGAATCGCCGACCACCAAGGCACTTACAAGACTATGAGTGTGCGTACGTAAAGGGGGAGGAGTGTTGTGTACGCACGGGAGACGCTGGCTGGTACGCCACTGGACAGGAATGGCAGAGACGCTAGAATAAGTGAGGTTGTGTTCGAGCATGACCATGTATTGTTTGAGGAATTCTCGTGTATCTTTTTGAGTTATTAAAGTAGCATATTTATAACAAACATGTATTACAAGTTAGATCCACCTTGTCATTGATTATACACATGTAATCAATGACGCGATCAAAAATGAGTTCCTGTCGAGTCACCTGTGGAATTTTTGTTTAAATTTGAAATCGTGCTTAACTTAAACACGGTCGGGTAGTATGAGTGAGGCGACTGATGTAGTCATGTCTTCCGTAGCTCCTGCCATTTTGTTTAGTCAATGTCAAATGGAGCTGTAAAGTGTGTAACATCGTGTGTTTGCTTACAACAGTTTGAGCGAAATAATCGAGTCTATAAGCCTCGTCTCGTCATTTTAATCTTGCGAGACACAACAGTAGTGTACCCCTTTGATTGTACCCACTCGTAACACTATTTTACGTTGGGTTCAATTATTTCGTTTACGAGGAACCATGATGAGTAAAAAACCCCGTTCCCCTAAGGCTCTAATAGATTTGTTCGTATACGATTCCTTTTTGTGAGGTTACCTCAAGTCATGTGTCTGACGAACATAAACCCTAATGTTAGGTACTCGGTTATATACCGCGATGATTCATTAGAAGTGATGAACGCTTGAATTTCGCGCGTAAGGTTTTAGTATTTTTTGCATTGTTAGATTGACGGTTTGAATTTCGTTAGTAATTTTTTTCTGACTGACATTTAAGAAACCAGTGTCGCCGTTAATTGTTGTGTGCCATTTGCGGTTTATTACTTTTTCCATTTTGAACAATTTTTAGAGTTGATGCACTAAAATATGTAAGAAACGTGACTGTGTCTAGTGTTAGTTTATAATTTGTGGTAAAACAGAAGCAGTATTTGTAGATTATAAATAAGTAAACGATTTGCTGAATGCATGATGATACACCACTGCAATTAAATAAATGATCATCAGTTAGTTCCAACTTTATAATTTTTTTGATTTGCGGGAAATTCAAATTGTCCTCACTTCTAATGAATCACCCGGTATATGTATAAACCACGTACACTACTTGAAGAACTGAAGGAAGCAAAAGCAACTAATTGTGTGGAAGTCGTTCAAATTGACAGGACAATTTTACAGAGATTGTGGACAAACTTCCGAGAGCGTCTTGTAAAGTGCATCACTCAAAACGGTCGTCACCTGACAGCTGTTGTTTTGAAGCATTAATTTTTTAAAATGGCAACATTGAAATCGATGCAGATAAAAGAAACGCGAAAATATATGCTCTTTATTCCACACCAACCTCAACGATTTTTGCAATACAATTGTTTTTCACCGCACACACACTTTTATTCCTTAGCTAACATTCCGGAAATGCCCCATGATTCCCGAATTTTTAATTTCTTAACAATGGGAACGATTTGTGCATGAAACGAAGAATAACTTGGGTTGATTTTTATTAATACACAATCAGAATTATAAATTAATCATGAATATAACATTTCAGTTTCTATGTTTAAAACCAGGCGACGTCCCATACAATAAAAAATCATCTTTCTCCACCATATCGTAATCGTCCGCCGCATTTTCCGCGTTCGATTTATAATATAAATAAATAGGTTCAATAATCTCCTTTGACCTGAAATGCAATAAGTAACAGTTTCATTGTCATTACAGTTTTATTGCAAACCTTTTCAACACCAATGGATCAAAGGGAAAGAACGAATCTAAAATGTTATTAGATATTAATACCGATCCTTTATCATCTTGATATATCACTGGCATAATATTTCGGGAGTTATGTTCGATGACCGCATAACAGTATGCCAATTGGTAGGTTCTCGCAACCGACGCAAAGTTTTGAACGATCGCCGGTTGGCAGACGCGTAAAGGATTTAAAGTTGAGGTAACAATTTTCCCTAAGTTCAAATTTTCTAAAAAGATAACATCTGAAAAAAACACGTATTAATTTTTTTCACTAGTAGGACATGTAAAGGTCACCTTTTCGCTTATTAACTAAATCTTTATATCGAAAAGCGATAATGTAAAACAGTGCTTGACATACACTGTAAAATACAACATGTATTCGAATATCTGTATTGATACACCCATGTCCATCTTGTGTGGCCATATATGCGAAGATCCAATTTGCCATTTCTTGCAATGTTCCCTTCAGCATACTGCAATGAATGGGCTATTTAAGATGATTAGAAAAGCGAAGAACTTACTATAAGGGCACAAATGACGCCCGTGCGACTAGACTGGCCATATACGACACTGCTGAATGCCTATGAATAGAGGGGACATTTGGATTACAGACTTTCCTCCATAGAAAATTCAAAAAGGCTTCTGCAATTGTTGGTTTCAAACTGCACAAGAAAAACATAACGAACGGAACGTGATGTATGTTGTAAGTAGGTAGCACCACCTTGTCAAACACGACTAGTAAATCTTGATACAAGCCTAAAAGAATGATTTTTATATAATTATACATGCATCTAGTATTTATGTTCAAGATTCTGTTGCCTCAGTGTGTTTTTGCTCGACTGGCACTGAATAGCCACTTTATTCAGATAGTCGAAATATGTTTTTGAAATTCAAATATCAATGATTTTCTTCATTTTTTTGTATAAGCTGGTTGGAATTTTTTGAATTTTGAAAAATTTCAGAATTACGTAAATTTAACTATTTTTCGAAATTTTAATTTGTGTACGTGTTGGCTTCTAAGAATGTTCAGTACTCTTCATATTCTTGCACCATTAATTTCTCTGAATGTACTGTATTTTTTTAACTGTACAACTCTAAATATCAATCATAGCTTTTTCGATTAAACATTAAACGTTATTGCAGTATGATTATACATTTTGTAATATCATTCAAATTCATATCACGCATATACAGTGTGGTCCATTAAGTGTCCAACAAATGGGAATTTTTTTAATTTTATTACAAATTTTAATAGATTATTGACTTATTATTTTTCCCCCTTTCCTTCACGGGCCAGAAGAGAATTATTAGCCAATGAGGAGCAGAGGCATATTAATTTAATTACATATCAAGAACAGCCCCCAATTTAATTATGATATAGGAAGATTAAGCAGAGACAAGTTGTAGGAAAAGAAGTAAAAATTGTAACATCAGTTCCAGTGTGTAGATGATATTTTTGATATTTGAAAGACAATGTCATTTGTTAATAGACCACATTGTATACAGTCAGCCGAATGGAATAAATTGGATAATAAATGGAGATGTGTTAAAAAAGTTCAAACACGTCAATTTATCCATGGTGTGTTGTCACGGGAGCAAACATTCATACTCAAGACACCCTGTATATTATTTAATTGTTAGATTCTTCAAAATATTCTACACATATTTGATGTACAATGCCCTATAACTATTCAACCGTTTGGAAATACAGATTAAGTATTTTCAGATTTATTGCAACAAATAGCATTAAAAAAACGCGCCCATTTACCTATGCATTATTGAATGTAATTATTCCATTTGGATCGAGATTTGGATGATATACATTGTATATGACAGGTGTAGTGTGTGTATTTAAATTTTAATTTCTTTAATCAGTCTTATCATTTATTAGTGGTTTTATTGGGCCAATACCGATATCGATCGATCCTCTTTTCTCTCAAAGCAATATGTCTGCACCATGCAATCCTCTGGTAGTCTTCCCTGTTCTTTCAGTCTACTAACATTTCGTACATACCGTGATATTTATTAAGAAGTAGACATGGGAATTTACGTGTATTGTTTATCATCTATATCTACTTTTAAATGACAAGATCTCTTCTAAAGGGTTCCTTGGCTTCCGCAATTTTATTTTCATTCGTGTGTGATGTATTCAACCGAAGAAAAAGTTGATACTGTCAATTGGTATAGTGCCGTTATTAATTCAAGGAGCATAAGAGATTTTTTTCTGTGAATCCAAAGCAACAATATTTAAATTAAATAATATGACAAGCCAGATCTTTATTTGTTTTAAGAAGTTATTCTGGTTGCATAAAATTAGGCGCCCTTCACAAGAGATTTTGCCATTTAAAGGTTGGCATAAGGAAAAACAATACACGTAAATCCCTATGTCTACTTCTTAATAAATATCACTGCATGGTTAAAAAGAGGTTAAAAATAAAAAACGTTGAATAAAAAAATAAATACAGTTTCCTAAAACTCTACACAAAATCAACATCTTATTTAACACAGTATAGATGATACCGAGAATTAATCACTTACTTTTCGTTTGATCCCAATTGAACTCTCCTGATTCATGTGATATCATCATAATTTGATTGAAGATTTTATACAAACAAATATCTAAAGTGTGTGCAATATTGTGTTTCATTTTATCACAGCTGGTTTGTTGACTTGCATCATCAAATTTAAATAAATCGTCTTCCACTTCGTTTTCTTTCCTTTCAATGTCTTCTCTAGGGGCATTTACATCTAACAACACTAACCTAAAAGAAACCAATTCCAATACAGTGACATAAGCGTAATAAAGCTTACTTGGAAAATATAAGGTGAAACAGATCCCCTCTAATTTGAGGCCGATAGTCTAAAATACACAGTATATTATGAAGATACACTTCATGCATATGAGAAGACCTTTTTAAATAAGGGTAGTTCGAAATTAACGATTGTAATAGCAATTCTTGAGACCTAGAAAAATATTATGCATACAGCATGTCAAAATATTACACCACCACATGTAACATCATTACATTTTACAACTTACATGGGAATTATATTTATTAACATATTTATCACGCAATGTACATTTACAAATTTCTGAAGATCTTTCAAGTTGGGCACTCCATTTTCCCAGTCCGGTTCTTCTGGATCTAAAACATGACCATTAATATAATTCGCAATGTTTTCCTTAATTACCTGGCAAAAATTTGTAAACTAAACTGTCTATAGCAAGCTTTGCATGATAATTGTGAGCTGACAATAAATTAATTATAAACGATTGATACTCCGACACTACACTTTCACTATAATCGACCCATTTAATTAACAATATGGCTTCAACAAACAAACGTAAATCTTGATTTAAGATCGATATACATTCACTAGCTTCGGACAGCAACGATGTCAAGTCCTCGTCGAGAAGTAACGAGTCGCGTATTAAACAAACTAAACTTTCATAATCGCGCCTGTTCTCTTGCGCCGCAAAGCTTTGCAGAATGTTGCGTACTTTTTGAGAGTGCGGAAGTGTAAATCTCACTTTGGTCGGTGAACGTTCGGTGAATAGTTTTGTCTTCAAACTTATCCTTTTTAAAATTGAACTGGTGGAGGTATTTCTTGAACCTCCAGAGATCACAGACATTTCACCCCTTTTTAAAATGCTTCGTCCAGTGAAGAATGTCAATCATAGCACATACAGCAATTAGCATTCACTTTGGAATTAAGTTAATTTTATATCAATTGCAAACGTGCGAAACTTTCATAACCTCAAAGAAATTAAAATTCTATGTGAGTATAACCTCAAATAATGAAGGCTGAAGGGAAAAACATATACACAGGGTGTACTCACAGCGTTTGGTTAGCTCGTATACAGTATGTCAATCTAATTAACGAAATTCGGCAGTTGATTTCATAATGATTTCGGTTAAATTAAGATACAATAAAATACAAGATATGATAATATGGAGCATGTCGGCGGAGTTATGGGGAGTCATGCGGAGCCTTACACTGGCATATTTATATTTTACAATGAGAAATTGTGTTTCATTTTTTATTTGTTCAAATAACATCAGAAATAAAAACGATATCGGCAAATTTCGGTTTTTCTAACATATCTGTGGAAGTAATCGGAGTTTTCCGGTTTTATTTAAAGCATGATAATAACTCTTTAATTGCACATTATTTTCTTTAATTTAACCATTGTCATATCTTCTAAGGTTTCAGAGATCTCCATTTATGAATTAATTACACAGCGGAACAAAAAAAATAAAAATGTCTGCGGCACTAATTTTATTAATGAATTTTATAAACACTGGTATTTGAGATACACTATATGCATTTAGTTTTTTTGGATTGATTCTGGTTCTTGAGATAAACGAAACGTATTAAATCAATGGAAAATTTTAAACTACCCTTCTAAAGTTGTATTTATTTGAAGTTTGGTTATCTATTCATGGATTTAGTAGTAAACATTTCACTGATCAGCTATTAGACCAAAATTATCAGTTCGTCTTATTTTAAGTATCCGCGGTGATCAAAAAAGGATTGACGGATTCGGTGATATTTAAATTACATATGACTCCATGAAACAGAAGTTTCAAAACTGACGCGACGTCAACTATTTTTCGTAAAAGTTCTATTCGTCTTGAAAAATATGATTTCGCAACGAAAACCGTGTGTAAATGACCCCAACAATTTTTGTTACATATGTGGTAAATTTTGTTTACAAAAACAAAGAAAAATTATCACGGAGTTTGTACTATATTACACAAATTGAATCTGAGGCACGGTTAAGCTTTCTTTTAGTAATCAAAAATTTCTTAAGGAGTCATAAAGCTCCAGACTATGCAAAAATAGTCACTAAAATGCTTCAAAATTTTAACAAATTAGGAGCTAATATGAGCATTAAAGGCACTTTTTGCATTGTCATTTAGATAGATTCCCGCATAATGTGGGCGATTACAGCGAGGAACAAGGAGAACGGTTCCACCAGGACATTAGGGTCATGGAAGACAGATACCAAGGTCGATGGGACCGCCACATGATGGCAGACTCTTAGTAAGGGATTGTCTTGGGCAGAACCATGGCAGAAAAGCCTACAGAAAAAGTTTTTTGTGATTTTTCTTAAATTTCGTCAGATATTTTTGTTTTTGTTTCGTTCCTAAAGATCAACTTAATAAGAGTATTTTTTCAGTGCAAATTGGTATTTTTACTAAAATTTTTTATTGAAATAGTTAATAGTTTTTATCTCAAAAACTGGAGCCAATTTTACAAATCTGATATTTTTCCAGTATTCAGCACACTATAGTCTGATACAGAATTGACTTCAATCTGCCATGCCGCAAAATTACTGTTCCCCAGTGTTATGAATAATATTATATCCTTACTGGACACAGTGTATATAGCACGGCTGACTTGTCAGCCATGTTGGAGCCCACTGACATTAATGCATAAAGATAAGACCTTACACCTTAAACACTTTTTTGTGCCCAGATTTGTATTGTCAATAGGCTCCAAAATAGCTGACGAGCCTGCTACCATAATCAAGTACTGTACGCCGACTGGACGAATTTGGAATGGCAATTTAGCATATCTGGTTTTCTTTATATCATGGGTTAAATTTCAAGTCCAGTAAAGTCAATAAGTGGCATTTAGTAACTATAATAACAACGCGGGCAAAAAACAAAGATGTCATACTTCTAACGCCACAGGTAGGAGATTATTTTGCATTCATTCGATATTTTTGTTGAGATTATATTTTGGCATCTTGGCGAGCTACATCAAGGTTAATATACCGTCAGTGGGTAAAATATGGAACAAATTAATTTCAAAATGAAGGGTTGGGTTTTAAAAAAATGCTCCGACACGTCTATCACAATTTTTCTTGCGCAATTTTTGTACTAAAGGAAAATATACAAGTGCGTCAAAAAGTAGATTTTGATATCAAATTTGTCTTTTTTAAATGGAACAGTATCTTAAAATGTGTTCGTATTATTTTTATATATGCGTAGAATTTGCCACAGAATTCAAAAAAATTCTGCCATTTAAAATCATCTGTAATAATAGCATTGTATTATTTTATAATTTATCTCCGATCATTGCGATAAGATTTTTTATCGCTACGAATTAAGTTTGAAGATACGCAGGTTTCGATAAGAAGACACAGAAATGTTTAATTTAGTTCGGCGACGCATGAATTTTGATAAAGAAGTAGAGGCGGAAGGTGTAGAAGGGAATTAAAAGTCGTTAAATAGAAGAGACGGACGTGAAACGTTTGTGGGTCACTTATTGTAAATCGCAGAATTAGGATCATAAACACTTTTAGCGTAATTAAGATTTCTTTTAATTAATTTTTTCAATCGATCGCTTATGCGTGGTATTTGTCTGCTGGCCCTGAGCGCCATTTTTTATTTCAGAGTTATTATTGATTGATTTGTCAAATAAATTTGTTTTATCTGTAAATGATTAGCTTTGTGTTTAATTGAGGCGAAATTACGACCTAGATAAGAGTTCTCATGTCAAATTCTTAGTTGGTACCCAGGGTTATGCAGGTGTTTAAACAATCATTTTAAATTCAGTTCTTTGTCTTTGGACTGTATTTTGGGACTGATCAAGGCTGATGACTGAGTTTTTCAAATTAATAAAAAGTCTCATCATGTGGGTAAAGGATTTATTGCGTCTATGCGAAAATTATTTAAAACGTGATTGGTTTTATCAAAGTAAAATTTAATCGATGGCACATATGCAAGTTGGTATACAGGGTGTTACACGACCGTTCGAAAAAAAAAATCGGGTTGTAGAGGGCATCAAAACAAGCACTTTTTCCAAATAAACCGAGGGTCCAACGTGTTTCGTTTGGGAGCCACCCCCCAAAGAGTGTTGAAATCTGCATTTCTTCTTTAATTTTTTTCTCAGCAACCATAAGAGTTACAAAGTCGGGTGGCATGTCTTTGAATAGGTTTTTGGGTATGCTCTTTCCGATTTTGCAATTTTTTTTTCAAAATTCCTACCCCTAAAGGGCGCACCCCTAAACTAGGGTGCAAAAAAAATTCTGATTTCGACGAAATTTGGTATCTGGGGTTTTTTTAACATGAAAATCACGAATCTGAAATTAGTTTTTGAAAATTCGAAAAAAAAAGTTCCACTGCAATTCTTGGCGGGACAACGAAAATTCCACGAAATTTGTTGTGTACATACTAAACGAGTTAAGGAACAAAACTGTCGAACAGTTTTTTAAAATAACTTTTCAAACAAAAGTTATACTCATTTGAATGTTGGTCCTTCGGGTCGCGAAGTGTCCCAAGTCTACTAGTAAGCCATAATTGCGCATGTGTTGGTTGACAATGTCGCAAAAACAAAAGATTAACGGTTTGAGTCGATATTTTGTTATTTGGAATTAATTCGGTCATTAAATGATTAAAAAATTCGATGTATCGATTAAAACACCTACCAAGGTATCTTAAAGCGCTGATCGATTATTTATTATCTAAATAAGGTAGGGGAAAAAGTCAAATCACTTTCCGTATGATACTTTTTCACTATGATCAAAAATTTTCATAATCTTAGGTTGAAAAATAACTTCCAAAAGAACACGCTCCTTTTAAGGACAAATCGAAAAGGTACATTAAATTAATGTGAAGTTAGTTGTTATTTTTATTTCTTCCAATTATCAATTTACCTAAAAACAATGGAATGTTTACTTATTAGGTTCGTCCTTATTGTAAAACGTCAGTTACGTCGTTTTTTGTGTTGCGTTCTTTTTCTTCCGTTCTATTCGAGATGGATAGAAACTATTCGAATTTCGAATTGGCAAACATTCATTACATGTATGGGTTGGCTGATGGAAACTGTTTGGAGGCTCGACGATTGTACGGAGAGAGATTTCCTGACCGAAGGCTTCCTGGTAGTAGAGTGTTTTCTGAGGTGCATCGCCGCTTAGTAGAAACAGGATCCCTGAGTTATGCCGCACGGGCACGGCCAGTTGGTAGGAATGTTGAATTCGAAGAGCAGGTCCTACAAGAAGTTGAGGAAAATCCTTCCACTAGCACACGGGCTGTATCACGTGTAACTGGTACGAACCACGTCGCTGTATGGCGTGTGATGAAAGAACAACTACTGTACCCGTACCACATTCAAAAAGTACAGCAGCTGCATCCAACGGATTATGGTCTTAGAGTAGAGTTCTGCCATTTCATTGCAAGACGTCGTCGTGGGAACCCTGATTTTCATTCATCTATTTTATTTACGGATGAAGCCACGTTTCATCAAGATGGCTATGTTAATGTTAAGAACCGGCACGAATGGAGAGACGAGAACCCACATGCTGTCCTTCCTATAAGAAGTCAATGGAGATTCTCCATTAACTTGTGGGCAGGAATTGTAGGACAGCATCTTTTAGGGCCGTACATGCTGCCTCCACGAATGAATGGAGAGCAATATTTAAGGTTCTTGCAAGAAACCTTATTTGATTATTTGGAAGAGCTACCGCTGCAACTGCGTCAACGACTATGGTACCAACATGATGGCGCACCCCCCCACTTCAATCGTGCCGTCATCGATCACTTGAACGCTACTTTCCCCAATCGTTGGATCGGAAGAGGTGGTCCAGTAGCGTGGCCACCGAGATCGCCCGACCTTACGCCACTAGATTTTTTTTTGTGGGGGCACCTGAAAAATTTAGTGTACATATAGCGAAAATGGAATAATCGATTCGGTGGAAGAACTGGTTGCTCGCGTGATGGCAGCTTCAGAAGTTATTAAAACCAATCCTATGATGGTGTTGAAGTCGTCAAATTCTGTTCCAAGGAGATGCAGATTGTGCGTGGCTGCTGGCGGTGGCATTTTTGAAAATGTTGCATAAGCATATCGCTTCATTTTTGGAAGAAGTGAAGTCCGTTACTGATCACTAAAAACAAAAAAAGTTCTTTTCAGAACTGCCAAATGTTTTCTAGAAAAAATGAACCGTGACCTTTAAGATTATCTTCAACTGAATAAAACTTTTCCCCTACCTTATTTAGATAATAAACAATCGATCAGCGCTTTTAGTACCTTGGTAGGTGTTTTAATCGATACATCGAATTTTTTAATCATTTAATGACCGAATTAATTCCAAATAACAAAATATCGACTCAAACCGTTAATCTTTTGTTTTTGCGACATTGTCAACCAACACATGCGAAATTATGGCTTACTAGTAGGCTTGGGACACTTCGCGACCCGAAGGACCAACATTCAAATGAGTATAACTTTTGTTTGAAAAGTTATTTTAAAAAACTGTTCGACAGTTTTGTTCCTTAACTCGTTTAGTATGTACACAACAAATTTCGTGGAATTATCTCTATTTTCGTTGTCCCGCCAAGAATTGCAGTGGAACTTTTTTTTTCGAATTTTCAAAAACTAATTTCAGATTCGTGATTTTCATGTTAAAAAACCCCCAGATACCAAATTTCGTCGAAATCAGAATTTTTTTTTGCACCCTAGTTTAGGGGTGCGCCCTTTAGGGGTAGGAATTTTGAAAAAAAAATTGCAAAATCGGAAAGAGCATACCCAAAAACCTATTCAAAGACATGCCACCCGACTTTGTAACTCTTATGGTTGCTGAGAAAAAAATTAAAGAAGAAATGCAGATTTCAACACTCTTTGGGGGGTGGCTCCCAAACGAAACACGTTGGACCCTCGATTTATTTGGAAAAAGTGCTTGTTTTGATGCCCTCTACAACCCGATTTTTTTTTTTCGAACGGTCGTGTAACACCCTGTATAAGGAAATGCGTTGTAAAAAAGTGCTCGCATTTCGTCGACCCTTACCGAAGATGAAAAATCGGATAGTCGAGATGGTGATTGGTGAGGACTTAAAAAGGTTTACGCGCAGATGTTCGAAGCGGTCTTTGGCTTAGCGTACGTAACAGTCCGTTGCGTCTAAATTTCAAATAGGTACGCATTTTTCCGGCAGTCAGCCGGTGCTTCGAAGTTAGGTAATGATACAGGTATACAATTTTCCCACTGCTGCCCAAAGTTAGTGTTTACGCAAGAGAGTTACAAGTTATAGAAAGTGTTTCATCAATTTTAATTTAAACTTTGTATTCGAGCTGCCATTTCAATAGCGTCAATCATCATAGAACCAGTGGTAGCGATTTAAAAAAAAAGAGCTTGTGTACACGGTTGTGCCTTTCTGTTAAAATAATTCCTTGAGAAGTGTTGTTTTTGTGGCTTATTGCATCTGTACCGGCGGTTTCACACAAAGAAATTTAGACTGTTACAGAAAAGTAGCAAGTACTTTTTCGGTTTATTTTTTCTGTATTCGACCGAATGTAACGGGGGTAAAATGTTTCAAGGCTCTATTAGCCTTCAGATTACTTGATGGTTTAGTAGAAATGCTTATTTTATTTTTGTATGCCATTGTGTTCTATAATGCGTGTGTGGCAATAAAGATTTATCTTGTACCTACCCGATCTCAGAAAATTATGTCAATTTGAATTCCAGTAAAAATAAAGAAAATCTCGATAGTTCATTTTCAGTGTAGTCCAAATATAATGGTGTTGTTTCATTTGAATTATGTTTTTCCAGAACTTCAAGATTTTGATAAGTCAGTGTTGAAATTTTCCAACGTTTCGGAAACCAGCTGGACCTGAGATTCACTTTTTCTTTAGTTATTTAAGAATAAAGTTTATAGGAAAATGAGGGTTTGTTACAAGGTTTACTTTGTGTAATTTTAAGCTAGCTAGGTACGTGATATTTGAGTGGTGTAATGAATTTATGCCATTGCCCACAGCAATAATTTTTGGCGCCCAACGTGGGGCACAGAATTTATTTTTTTGCGCCCCAATAAAAGCAATACACTGCAATACATATTCTCCATACAGTCAATGATGTTTGTTTACTGGATAATGTAAAGAAAGGGGAATGGTATGGGATGAAACTTGACTATTTATTAACAACACAGGACTAGATTTTATTGTTACTTGCACTTATACAAAGTATGATAACAAACAAAATATAAAAAAATAAAATTAATAGTTAATCAAAATAACTATAAGCTTTCAAATGATACTACTAAGAGGCACAATTGTTAAATTGTAAAATTTTAAGTGGCATTAAAGTATTTCTGATTGGCATCCTCACATTCATAACATATAAAAATGTAGCTTGCTTTGTGTTATTTATGTATATTATTATGTAAAGATAAAAAATAAATTTTTCTATTACAGTACTTATAAACATACCTATGTACCTAGGTATAGATACATCATGAACGAGTTGTAGGTAGGTACCTTCAAAAATATCTAAAAGTACTTAATTCCCATAAATGAACATGATAACATACATCTACTCGTGATATAAGCTTAGAACTATTTGTGTGCACTTCTTTCCTCATGTTGCCCAGTTACAAAAGCCACTGGCAAGATTTCAGCTGTTATAGGTTGTATCACCCTGTAAGTGACCTTGAACAGGCAAAAAGCGTAGTATAATACCTAAGGATATTTGAATATTTACATAGCTGATGTTTAAAAAAATAAAAACTACCTATTTAAGGAACTTTGAAAATTATCAATTTAGTAAAATTAATACGGAATCTTTCTTTTAAGTAAAACATACCCGAACACTTCTGCTACGTAAATTAACAGTAGTAATACATCCTCTTAACATCTATAAAAATACACCAATTTAATTTACGATTACACAAAAAAAATTTCGACATCTTTAAAAAGTTATCGAAATTTTGTTGTACTGTAATAGCATCAGCAGTTCACATGCAACGAAGCACACTCATTCTGTAATTTAAGTAAGATAAACTACTATCACTGAAATAGTACAAAAATTACGTTATTACAAATATGTTTTTTTTATTATCAAATATGTTACATTAGGCAACTGTTTTTGTAAATTACCTACATTTTGCACGCTTTGCCCTAACAAAACCCTGTTAATTGTATCGCTTTTATCCTTCGCTTAATAAATAGTGATGACAAAATGTAGATTAGGATTTTGAGGGCACTATTATTCCTAACAAGGATACATGTAAACACTTAGTTGTACTAATAGGAGAAATATTTATTATACCCTGCGCATTCAAGTTTACAAATATTTTACACTTTAATGGATGGATTACATTTTTGAGCAAAAACTATGTATCCACTTATGAGAATATTTTAGTGTCCTACACAGACTCGAACGGTTTAATATAAAATAAAAATTGTAGGATGAAACTCAAAATCTACCTATTTACCTGAACTGTACCATTCCCATAAGTATTTTTATTGGTCAACGTATTTGTTTAAATAGGTATAAGTATCAGCAATAAAGAAAAATAATAGTACATTGTTGGTTACTATAGTTTTATGACATTAAAACAAATAAATTATGAAAAATGTTTTTACTGCAGGCTGTCATTAGAAAATAAAACGTCCTTTAAAATTGATACAGAGTTAATTCTATACGCTCTCCAATTTCACTGTTGCACTAAAAGTAGTCAGCAGATTATGGGCCCAGAACTGGAGAAGTAGTAAGGTACGTAACAAGTTTAAGATGGAAGGATTTTCGTAAAACTTCAAATCGGAAATTTAGAACGAAAGCAAAACTGGGATACTGGGAAATACAGGGTTTCTTAGTGCTAAGTGCCATGGAGGTAGTCAAAGGTAAGCTGAAGAAGCTGATTTACGATAAAGCAGATGACGCCGTCAGCGATTATACTTTACAATTAGCCAAGTACAAGAAGTCGGAAAATAGTGTTTACAGATAGAGCATATGGGTGACGGATCCATCACGATAGCGCAAGAATTATATACGAAGAAGATGCTGAAGTGCTTTTGCATGATGGACTGTAATCCAGTGGCAACACCTGTACAGAAGAAAGTACTTATTGTATCAGAAAAAGTGGATGTATTTAGCCTATCTCATGGTGGGACCAAATCCCGCCATGGCATATGCTGTAAGGCTAGTATCCAGAAAGCTGCAGAAATCAACTAAAAGTGATTGGCAGAATGTGAAAAGGATATTCAGATATCTAAGTTCTCCCTCTAAACATGGTTTTATTGAAGCATTATTGAAGGGATCCGAAAACGAAGCTTTATGTAATGACCATGCCCTGAACGAGCGCAATTATTTATTTCAGCTTTATTATTGCTTGATTTATGTCAGAGATTCTGTGCAATCAGAGGTCCAAAAGAAAAAAAAACTTGAAACCTCAAAACCTTATTTTACTTTAATGTAATCGCCGTGCGCCTGCAATATTCTGGGCTACTCGCCCCAAACCAGCGGGCGACGAGTTGTAGGTCAATGGCACTAAAACTCTCACAAGCCAATTCTAAAAATAGATCTTTGAATCTGAAGACAAAAAAGATATTCAGGAAAGTGCAGATGAGGCGAGATATTGAAGATATGACGACATATGATAACTCACAAAAAAATATTCAACAAACAGAACAAAATTTAAAGAAGGTAGTGAATGACTTCTTTATTTTGGTCCATTGATGCAGCCGCAGACAAATTATATAAACAGTGCGTGATATGAAAGCAAACTAATTGTTTTATAGCTTTTTCTATTGGCAATTTTGAAATCCAAAAGAGATCTGTTCGTAATTAATATATGCTTAGTATGTAGTTTGTGGTTATAGATTCATTTTACAGAAAACAAGATCAAGGTGTTAACAAAATAACTAAATTATTAAAATATTCTCATAAGTGTAAATGCCCATAACATATTTGAAGTTATATATTCTCGAGTCAATAACCAAAAAATAACTACTGAAAAAGGGACAATTATATTATATAAACCTAAAAAAAAATAAATCAACACGTTCTCAAAAAAGTGCAACCTAATTCCAGTCGAAATGTTCTCAAATGGGTACTTATAAATTTGTTGGGTTCTGAGAGAGCACTAATTTATATGCACATATCCCACACACTGCATGTATTCACTATTGAATTGGTAATCCTTCTCTTTGAGGAATTTTGTTTAGAGAATATTTCAATTTTGCCAGTTAGAAACCAGCCTTCTTTGTGTACAAATTGTTGCCTTCAGAGCAGAATCTTCTATCGTCTATGTACACGAATTTGAATACATTTCGAATCAAAAATGTACAACAGATCACTTTTATACTATTTTTTGAAACGACTGGTAGTAGGTCAAGAATAAACCTTTTATTCTACTTTAACAATAAATAAATAAAACAACCAATTTTACTACGAAAAAGACTACATGATCACATTTACATATTCTTTAAGAATATGTAACTTCAAACCTAAAATTACATATATACATCTAATATATCGGTTAGATATTGATGGCACTTTTACATGTGTACGGATTGCACAGTTTTGAACATTTAAACACATTCCACCTGACTTTTAGCTCTTTGAGTAAATTAAAGTTAACTAAAAAATAAACGTGTCAAAAAGGACATTACTAAAATGTAATGGTCCCACATCTCTTACCAATATGCAAATAAATAATTAATTGACTAACATTGATTTAACAACTTAAAAATGTAATATAACAGTGAAATATATTAACGAAAAATAATGTACTTTGGATTCTGCGCAAGCTAGCTGATTTTCATTCGTTTTGAAGGTGGGTGATCAGAGGGACTATTACAACCTAACTTTGAGCTTTGCAATGTAGTATTTCCGTTGCAGATATCACGATCCACACCATAATTTCCTAAGTTATCACGTAGCATATCCTGTTTCTGAAACACGACACAAATGTGCAAAACTCTAAAGTGACATCGTCACCCTGGATGGCATGGTGCGCTAATATGTATTTACGTGCGTAAAAATTATATACTTACAATTCCTTCTATCATTACTGCAATCGGAACAACACCAGTTACCTCGGAAACTTGATGTTCGATCAGATAAAACATGTACTCATCGTAAAGCAACCGAATTAGGTGAAATGATCCAAAACTTGCGGCCGATCGCAAAGTTAAATCTCGTATCACCATTGAACTGAAAAATTTTCTCTCAATATACATTTAAAATTAATCCTGCGTGTAATAAGTGAAGCATTGCATAATTGCATCTTTCTCCTTATACTTAACTAGGAAATTGAAATAAACGATACACTGGCGCTATAAAAGACGTCAATTCTGAGGTCGGAGAATTACCTGTTTCCTAAACGAATAATGTCTGCCAAGTTCAAACGCTTTACAATCCAAAAAGAGTTTATGTAAATAAAAGCAACGTTGACTGATATTGGAATTCACATTTTCACATTGACATAGGTACTTTTCTTTCATGTCAGAAATTTAATGAATTCACTGCCAATTTCCTTACTGAATTTATACGACTGCAGCTTTCCTGATGTTAAGGTGTGTCTTGGCTGATAATAATAGATTACTTGGACAAAAGAGTTTGTGATATGCTACGCGCTTGAAACAATCACTGTCCACGTAGAATATTTTTTAATTTGCCCTTGTTCAAGTCTCCCGAAAATGTATTTTTCTACAATCGATATCCAAAGTAGGCATTTGCGCTCGTATTTGACAACGCAAACGTCACCTTTTTCGAGGAATGTCACTTTGTCGCTTAAGAAAACAAGCTCGCTCTCCCAATTATTAACTATAAATCAAATATGCATTGCTCAGAGTATCCAATGACAACGAGTAAATGACATCTTTCATTTGGGCATAAGATTAAAATTATTTGAGTGAAAAATTAAATTTTTGGAAATATGTGAACTGCTCGATTGTAGAAAAAATCTTGTGTGTAATTCGAGCGCAAATTGATTGTCGATTTCAAGAGATTGCCGCGCTCCTTCGTCGCGCGTCAACTGTCTCTTTCAATCGACAATCTATCATTTTGCGCTCTTAATACACAAATAGCTATTTGAGTATTTCCCAATGCGCTTCAATGAACTTGGTTTATTTTGCTATTTCATTGTTCTATCGAGCTTTAATTATAGACGCTGTCCTCAGTCTAGCTCACACAAAATTTTAGTGCGAATGATCTTCATTTATGTTGCCGAGTAGGAAAAACAGAAACAACCCCAACGCAAAAGGATAGTTTGTATCTTCCCCCGTGCATTTTAACCAATTGTAACTCCCTGTCTAATCTGTAGCCGTCAAGAAAAACCGATACGAAACGGCCGCTATTCTCATAACTTGCTTCATTGTCGTAATTGAACTCACTCGCGCTCAGTCTTTCTATAAAGCGGCACATATGCAAAAAATTTAAGTGGCTTATTTTTTTTTTTGAGGGGGCGGGGTTTCAGTCAAGGCTGATCTACCAACCCAATCCACTATACATTTACAAATATCCATGCCCAAAGCCGGATTCGAACCGGGACTCTTGCTACCGTAATCAAGCTTCAACTCAATTGTGCCACACAGGCTGGCTGGGCCTAGTGGGCTCCTGTTACAAACAACACTTACAAAATACAAAAGTAGTTAAAGACATGAACAAATGACGGAATGGGATGAGGGAGATATTTTGTAATATGGAAGCCGTTGCTATATCACTTAAGAAAATTGATCTCCATGGGAATGGGAGTACAGACAAGGTATTCTACTACTTTTCTGTAAACTGAGCAGGTACAAGCTTTTAACCTTAACAATTTCGTTTTGGCTTGTGACAGCACAGATTGATTTATTGGGCACTCCGTTTATTTTTATAAAAGATTGATGTAATTATCTAGAGATAAAGTTGCGTTTTAATTGGAAAAAAATTGTTTGTTTTCGTAGAAAATGGTGTACTTCAGATAAGATAATTCCGAGTAAAATCTGCCTTCGTGCGACGCGAACTACGTTCTGTAGTGAAGTTTGGATTCTGTTTTGTTTTAGATTATTCACCAGTGACCACTCGCCCCATCCTTTGAGTATTCCGTTTCTCAATCTCATTACCTGTGCCTTCCGAAACTCCGAGACCGTTCGCCAAGCTTGGCCAGAAGCAAAGGAAAATAACTTCTGGTGGCGCTCGAGATTTCCGCCAACTACAACCAGTTTCACCAACTCTTGTGAATTAAATTTAATATAATTGTAACTTATTTTTTTCTAATTAAACTTTATTATTGATTCAACTAATATTACTATTTGATTTTCATGCCAAGGTACCGTTTTGCGCCGATTACCGAAAGTATGTCGCATATAAAATTAAGAAAACAAAAAGATGCTTCACTTATTACATGCATTATTACAGCAAGTCATACATACCTATAAAAACTCCATTTAAGTAAAAACTGCCTAGCTGCCCTAGAAAAATTAGGCTTCCCTTCATACGGCTTCAATGCACTCCTGACAACATTCTTCAGCCACGACGCCCATTGCTCCAAAGAATTTTGCTGTTGCAAAGTAAGTTTGAAATCCGCCTCAAATCTCGCGACAATATCGTGATCACATTGACAAACCCAAGAGGCTTGCTCGCGCACACTATGAAAATCAACCCGATTAAGATCGGCTAACATTTGAGCTATCTGTGTGCCATTATGCAATACAGCTCTAGCTGCTTGTGCTAAATGATTCAGCGACGTATATCGCCTAAGACTAGATCCGAACGCAGCGACAGCTGATAATTTAGAATTGAGCATTGCGGATGGCGCACCATTCATTGCTGCTGTTAGCCAACTTTCTAAGCCTACAAACACACATACAGCTTATTTAATGCTAATAAATTTGCATACTTTTCGCAAAGTTTCTTATAGACTGTGTTAGAGTTGCTGGAATGGGTTTCAACACATCTGGAACAAGTACTTGAATGAGATTTTGATAGAACGAAAGATCAACTTGTCGAACAAACACTTGAACGGCTTCTATATTACAAACAGCAAACAATTTCGATCTAAAAAAAATGTTAATCACTCAAGGAACCGAAAGTGTGGGTATATTACTTTGATAGATACTTTTCCTCTTCACACTCATCACCGTTATTATTGTCTTGAGATCGCCAAAACTCTCTCCAAAGTGATTCCACTGTTGCAAATTCTAAACTGAGAATCGCCTCTAAAAACGCCTCAAGATGTTCGCGATAGATGGCTCTAAAATGTGAACTTAGCACTTATCGCACACAAATTTACCTACTTGAAAGTGTCTACATCTTCAAGACTACAATCGTCCGGTAGACCTTCAGTAAAATGAATACTAGGAAAATTAGGTAATGCATTGCTACCATCACCCAGATATGATAAATGTTGAGTAATTACACTAACAGACACAGACGTATCAGCTGCATCCGAATTCCTTTTAAAGCTGCGGTTTCCATTTCCTGAGACCTTGCTCGACATACTCGTTGAACCGGACACGCTTCTAGACGAACTCTCCTCCACGACGGTTAGAGACGACCCCGGTTTAACACGAATACCATAATAATGGTACTTTGAATTGCCCCTAATTAAAAAAGCAATAGTTACATTTAATCAACAAGCAGGTGTCCCAACCTTGTTCCGAGTCTTCTGGTTCTTAATCCGAGAAAAACTGAGCGAATCAATTTTCCGAAAGATGCCGCGTTTACTGGTTCTAACTTGTTATCTCCACAGTGACGTAGATAGTGCGCATATAATGTTGAACGAGGTAAAGATACGCCGTCGGCAGTTTCGTAGTTTTCTAAGAGCCACTGAACCTATTAAGAAATTATCAATGAGTAAATACTGTAGTCAACAAGATCTGCTTTAAAATAATATGGCATATTGTATGCTTCATTGATTGGGAGAAAGAATTTGAGTGGGGTAGTGTTGTTGGAAGTACTGAGGGACATTGGTATAGACTGGAGAGAGAGAGCTGTATAAAAACCAGGAGGTGGTGGTCAGAGTGAATGGGGAAGAATCTGAAGAAGTGAATTTTGGAAGACCAGTGAGACAGTGGTCTTCTAGTCGCCCATGCTATTCAACATCTATGCGGAAAAATGTATAGAAAAGGTGGTAATGAAATTTAAAGGATTAAGGATAGGTGGTAACAACATAAAGACAATAAAATACGCAGATGACACGGCAGTACTTGCAGAAACAGAGACGAACTACAACGAATGATGGATAAAATAATATCGGTTGGAAGGGAGTTTGGTATGAAGGTAAACATCGGCAAGACAAAAGTAATGCTGATGAGAAAAAAAAAATACTTGAGTAAAATTATTTAAGTGAAAGGACTGCAAAAAAAAAAACTGGTTGAATTGTGCAAAAAATTTGGTAATCAGAAACGTGGAGTGGATTGGAGAATGAGGATGTTTTGGGACTGTTTGATGAGAAGGATAATCGAAGATCAGTGGTAGGAGGGGAAGAGGAAGAAAAAAACTGAACTACTAGCAAACATAATGGTAAGAGAAAGTTGCCACCCGATGAAGCAGGAGGTACAGGATAGAGGAAAGTGGAGAACCAGATGCTGTCTTAGTACAGTTCCACCTAATAATAATATTGTTGATATACATAATGGGCAGGAAACAAATAACAACTATGCATACTTAAATGAGTGAAAAAGAGACACAAGCAGAATTAAACTTACTGTAGCAGGAGAAACTCGAGTGGCATGACCTAAAGAAGATCCAACTTCTTCAGACACCTGAGTGGAAGAAGGCGCTGCATGCACACTAGCTGTAGCTTCATAACTGGTATCCTACACCATGTTAGTTGACACCACAATAGCATTGTTAGAAAGTTTATTGAAGCACATTAACTTGTTAAAACTATAACTAAACTTATACAGTGTAATTGGTTAAATTGGCAAATATGAAGCATTTTCCTTATATGCAAAATTCAGAAAAAAAGAAATAACACTAATCGCTATCACTAAAATTAAAAACCAAACCAACATGCTTGGGAGTGTTTAGAAAGCTGACAACAGCGCACCTACAGTCACCGTGCCATGTGACACCTCCAATCACCGAACTAATGGCTGTTGATGGCATGGCAACAATTGTATATACGGTTTATTCCATATATCTTCCGTTGCACGTCATTACCTGAACAAAACGACGTACCAACGTAATAGATATTTATTTTATTAGGAGTATAAGTTAAACTCACTGAGTATGAAAGTTTAAACGCCGAGCGTAGCGAGGCGAGTTAAATTCATACGAGTCACATAAAGTAACTTATACTTCGAATTAAATACTATATTTTATTTTCAAACGTCATTAAGGTAGGAAATAGGTAAAGATGCACTCAATAGGTACCGCAAATAATATCAGCATAACATTGCTTTGTATCCATGACTACAGTATAACTCAAACTGACAATTTCACTAAAGTAAACTTGACAATTTTAGTTTTTGTAAAGCAGTTATCTACCGTCTACGGTACCGAGATGGTCCTATATACTTCAAGATGCCAAATGGGAAGGAATATACTGGTTATTTCTGGAGGAGGACTTCTTCAACTGTGTTGGCAGATTGCAGAGGTGCTATTACCTACCTGTTTTAACACAGACATGGAGGATAGAAATCTGATACAATTGCTGCAGGGTACATATCGAAGCATCCTTATAGAATAAAGAAGACATTGCCACCAAGATCCTTTTGCATGATACAATGAAAATTCATAAAGATTTCGGGAAGATTTCAGAATATAATACAAGCGCAATGTTACAAAATGCCACTTTAAATAATTGCACGTTCAATTTTAACAGCAAGTAGAATAATTTTCTTCAGAAAAGGTATAGTTTTGTTTGATTTGATAAATAGAAATATAAAGTTAGTGGACGTAAATGCTAAGTGTGTATTTTGTTTTCACTAGAGTGGCGTATAAATGTTATACGCCGCCGCTCAAAATAGGTGTCAAAAAAGTGACACTTAAACCTTCATAAAACTGTCGCTATAACTACAGTTAAACGACGTTTGAAAATAAACTTACTTTCGTGTGTTAGGCAACACATTAAGCATGTAATTTATTTGAGTCGCAAAAGTTGGCAGCATTTCCCTACATTGTCGCTTTTAAATTTTTATTAAATCTGACAGGTAGCTTTTTGTTTACTTTCCGTTTGATTTGATTTTGGTTAATTTTTTACATATTTCGCTGAGCATTGGTTTGAAGAAAAATTACTGAAAAATTCACCAATTAACAAAATGAATAATAACAATTATTTTTATTTCATTTAAGGTGTGGATTGTTCACACAAACAATACACGGTCTTGTTGACAAGTGACATAACCTAAATCGCTAAAAACTAGATTGCATAGTAATTACGTCATAGAAAATGATGATGTGCAACGGAAGTTATATGGAATACAGTGTAGCTTTGTAAATGTTATATGTAAATAAATTGCATTACATGGTATCGCGTTTTCCTCACTTGCACAAAAAAAACTAGGTACACTACACTATTTCATCACTCTTTTAACTCATTTTTTAATTTATAAGTTGTAATAGCGCGGAAACGTTGCTAATTATATAGATAAAACAAGAAAAAAATCTTTACAAAATCTGTCAACATCTTCTGGTCGCGCGAGTCCAAAGTTTGACAAAATATGAAAAAAACTTAATTTTTGCAATGTTTTTCATTTTTGAATTTGAGGCTTTCATAATGTAATAGGTAACATCGTCAAATAGAGTCTAAAAACAGTAGTTTTAAGATTTCCTATTTTATTTGTCGACGGCCTGCGCGTGGGGTAATACGTCCAAACAAGCTTTGTAAGCCTTTCGGCTTTCTTTCTTTCAGGGATGTTGTTTTAATTTTTTTATGTGTTTTGGGATAAATATTTGTCACTGTCAATTAATTGTAAGTTTATTAGGATCCATTCTGCGACCCCGATAGAATTTGCATGTCAGATTTTTCTATTGATGCGAAAGATTTATTTCAGGCGTTGATTAGAATTTGTGTAATAAATTCTTAGGAATTTCCGGAAATTGATCGAGGCTCCCAAATTTTTAACTCAAAGTCAACATAGGGATTTTTCATTATAACGGAGGCGGGACGTCTACCATGAAAATAATTACAATTCTAAATTTAAAGGCTGGTTTGTGGCATGCCAATGCACATGGCAATATACATTAGTTAATAAAATCCTTTTTAGTTTTTGTGAGCTTGTGTTCCCGTATCCTGTACATATAAAGATTTTATTTATATTATTTTCAACTATACAAACTTTTTTGTTTAATATGTTGGTTTTTGTTTAACAAAAACATGCTACTGTTAAATTTGATTGATATTAACATTTTATTTTTTCTGTTTTTTTTTATTAAAATATATTTTTTTTAACATGATCAATCGTTCCTCTAAATGGAATTGAGTGATATCAAAGATTAAGAAAATTGGATCTCAAAGCCTTCCCCATACATTTATTACCTCTAAATAGATTATGCGGGTCATCAAATCAATATATTTTTATTAACAACACACACAGATACTTCCACCAGAAAAGAATGCATTCTCCAATGTCCTAATAATATGGTAACACAACACACACAGATACTTCCACCAGAAAAGAATGCATTCTCCAATGTCCTAATAATATGGTAACACTTTTAAGACAAATTTTACGTTTTCCAGGAAATGTGTCCAATAGGTATACTCACATGATTAGGACGTTGTGCACGGGTGCACCAATTGAAAATGCATTCTTTTCTGGTGGAAGTTATTACAATGTATCTGTATGTATTGGTAATAAAAATATATTGATTTGATTGGACCTTTTTTTTTGTTCAAAGTTCAAAGAAAAAGGCCGCCATAATTAACTTTAATTCACTTTGATGTACCTAGGTAACATAACACAATGTAGAGCCTTAAAGTCTGTTTCATCGGTGGAGTATTAGGACCGCATGGAACATGTTTGAAGAAATAAAATTCACCACAAACATTTACAAGGTAGTCTAAGAAAAGAATCTAATAATTAATAATTGCTATGGCTATTATTAAAACACTCCTCTTGTTAAAATGTCTGTCCGTACCTGAACATTTCCTTTAAGCAGTGACGTGCATAGAAATTTTATTGCTAATGAACCAAGTGTTAATTGTTCTCTGTTATGCTTTTTGTTGGAGAGGGGTGTAACACGCATTAGTTGTTCAGCCACGCCAAAGAACATTTATGTTTTTGAAGGAAGTTTGGTTTTAAATTTGAGTGATAAGCATTTTCAACACTGATTACTCACGGCACTTGTAGTTTGAGGCGAATTTCTAGTAGATATAAGACTGTCTGCGTCAACTGCCTGCTGAACTAAATAGTGTGCGGCACCTGAAGTGTAACCAACAGTTGTGTTACCGGAAGTGGCAGTATTGGTGGCATAATATTGACCTTGGTTAGCGTACAGTGTGCCAGATTCTCCTACAGTGTATACCGGATACGCCCTAATAAAATACGACCTCAGTAAAGTTAACTTTAGACTACTACTTACATTTGTGCTTGCCCGCCGTTAGCTTGAGCAGCGTACAATTCTGGTTCCACATACTGCACATGATACCCTTGATGCGATGCCACAGTGTCACTTTCTTGGGCAACTAAAATGATACATTTTTAAAATCTACCACTGCTTCAAACGAACAAAGTTACATCGATAGGCACTTTCATATCCTAACATAATGACTGATCTAAAGGTACTGATATCTAATACTACACACAGGTAAAGCCCTCAAGGATATTAAATGCGTACAATGTATGTGCAATCATCTAGAAGTAATTCAAGCACAATGTAACAACCCTACCTGTTGAAAAAACCCCTAACATGACATAAAAGGACTAATAAGTGTGAGTCATATGTGAGATTTTATATGTGATGATACATGTGTCACGTGTCTAATTTTGGCAAACTTTCATGCACCTGTAATTGAGGGTTTTAAAATGAACAATTGAAATGTGAGGGGTAATTGTATCTTACATGCAGGTGCTTACCTACTGCAGGCTGTACAGGTGTTAACGAAGCATAAGATCTAGCTGCAGCTTCTGATAGCATTAAAATGTTAAAAATGGTTAGTACAAAGTTACAGGCATGTCAACTGCATATTATTTTTTATCACTTCGAATTGTGAAGCTTCTAAGAAATGAAAATAGATGGCATCATAATAGTGATTATCATCTCAGCATAAAGTGGGAATGAAATATTTTGCATTGAAAAGATACCAATCAGGAGCTTTTGACGTGATCTAATCGGAACAGATGCTTTGCAAGTCTGCCTTTATTTAATGTGTAAATCTGAATGAACAACATTTAAACCATGCTTAATAAAAATCCATTACATTCATAAAGTTCGGGTAAGTGTAGGTCATGCTGAAGCAATATTAGCATACCGTACCTGTAACTGTGATAAATTGTGGAGATGGGTGGCCAATAGGATCCGTTTCGTGCGAATCACCTTGAGGTTCCGGCGTTGCAGAGCTTTCGTTACTCGATTCGGCAGCTTGCTCTAGCGCTGACACATCGATGACAGGAACACCGTTTACTATTGCCCCACTATTACTTGACTGTAAATTTACGGCAAACTGTTCAAATAATGCACTATTCTTAAACTCATCGAATTTATCGTTCACATCACTTGATAATCTCACATCACTCGAAATTCAAATAGCGACTTCGAGATGAAATCAATAAAGGATTGAGGGGAAAAATCAATATGAAGGAAACTTAAGAAATGTCAAGAGTTTTACCTGATGCAGACTGGCAGGGAGTACAATAAGCTGAGTCGGCTGCGACTGGGTTGGAGGTGTCGTGGCCGGAGTCGGTGTAGTGGGGCTGCTGCTTCCTCCTGTTGCGAATCGAGCTGTCGTTGCCATGGTTCTATCTCCCTGGCTACGCCTGCCCTCTAAAATGGCCAATGTTAAGAATTACGAAACACAACGAAACTAGCACAGTTTCGAAACACTTATAATTACTTTCCATTGGATTCCTATGTCAGTTAATTACTTAAGTTCAGAATTAAAATTCTTTTCTTTTCTTTTGTGACATAAGCCTACTATACAGACAATTAAGATTTAAGACAAACAACGAAGTATTTTCTCAGAATGAAACAATTCTACACAAATATGCCAAAATAAGTCTTTTTCTCTGAAGTCTTGGTAATTTCTTTGCCAGGGTGTGCAGTTAATCAGTATTAATTTAACATAAAGCAGAATGTATGTTGGAATATCTTTGAATGTACGACCGCGATCGTGATTATTATTTGGCGCGATCATTCCTGTTTGTAAAGTGTCTTCAATCCACTGTTCTGATTGTTTTCATTTATGGGTCACAACTTCAAATGTACAGGGTGGTTCGAAGTGTCCAATTTCGTTTTCATTTTCCCTAGCTTAAACGGTGGGCACCTTCTATGGGCACTTTTTTCAGAGAATCTGAATCTGTTATCAGAACTTCCATAACATGCTAGATGTAAACTATACTAGTCTTAAGCCGGGCTCAGACGACTCGTGTACTTGGCAAATAATCGTTACTTTCGTATACTTGGCATGTCGTGTGAGTGGGTTACTTGTACAATTAATTGTCACTCGTTAGTTTTCCATTTCTTGTCGGTAAAATTGGTCCGAGTCAAAGGTATCACGATTATTCGCACACTTGCCAAGTACATACTTATCTATACTTGTAGAGGCGCTCAAACGGAATGCACAAATAATTTGCCTTTAGTGCGATTATTAATTTAGTTTTTAGTTAAAGACGGAAGCGTACAGACGTTTTTTTTGTTTTTTTTTCTTTTTTTATTGAAATGGAGTGGACAAATGAGATTGTGTTGGAATTTCTTGTTTTTTATGAAAATGAGCCGGTCATTTGGATGGCTAAACACAAAGACCATAAAAATCGAAATGCAGTTAATGATGCCTGGAAAAGGATACAAGTGTTACAAATGTTCGCCCCAAATATTCACCCTCGCGTACTTGTACAATGTACACGTCGTGTGAGTGTCCTGCTTGCCATCGCAACTCGCCAAGCTCGTATACTTCCCAAGTACGCAAATAATTGTGTATTCGCCAAGTACACGAGTCGTCTGAGCCCGGCTTTAGATCTCACATAAGGTCAATCCCCCCCCCCAACTGTTTACCGAGTGAAATACATTTTTTAGTAATCTTGATAAGTAAACAAGCACATTGCAAATTTATGTTATATATTAGGATTGTACTATACATATACTACTTTCTCTCGTACTTTCTTATGTCTTTATAGACGCCATAATGGATTTTAACGAAATGAGGACAAAATGTAATTTTTCTTGCAAATTTAAGTAAAAGTATAGTGGACACGTCATTATTTCTCTTTTCTTGTCCTCTATCACATTTCGTAAAAATCCAATATGGCGTCCATAAGAAATAATAAAGTAGTAACCTGTAGCTTTTACATCTAGAATATTCTGATAACAGATTCAGATTCTCCGAAAAAAAAGGTGCTAAAGGGAACCGTTCGTTTTCGACCGTTAAGCTAGGGAAAATGAAAACGAAATTGAGCATTTTCAGTTTTTTTGGTAACAGCAATTAATTACGAACTTTCAAAAATTTCAAATGCGTTTTTTAGCCAAAAAAAGGGACAACTTTGCCTCAGTTTTACCTACAATGTATGTCTCACAGTTACTTGAACCATCGTGTTAATTTGAACCACCCTGTACAGGCTTTTCCAAATCGGTTGTTATTGAGATAGCTCAAATGGGCAAAATTTTGCAGTTTTGTGTAGGGTTTAGAATTACATTTAGAACTTCCTTTCTTAATGGGTGCCACAATGGATTATTACACGATTAAAGAAAGTACATATAGTCCCTTTTCGCCGATGTAAATTAACCTATTATTGAACAAGGGATGCTAGTAAACATAGTTTCATATTTTTATTAAGTTTAATCAATCTTTAGTTGATTATAGATTATATTCCATAGTTAAAAAAGATAAAATTGCAATTCTGTGCCAAATCACAAAAAAATTGGCGCACCATTTTTATTTTTAATAGTGATCGCATTTGAAACACAAAAGTGCAAAACTTACGGCCATTTTTACCTCGATGTTATCTTCAGTAACAAAATGACTTATGAAACCCCCTGATCTAGAACACTCTGTATATTTGCAAACGTTTTTTTTACTTTTCGCATTCGAAAACGTGACTTTTAATCCGGCTCATATTCAATAGCACTGATCCTTGAACTCGTAAAAATCGATTGGCAACATCGCTGTCTCTTTTCGTTCTCCAATTAGACGAGGAACAGACCGACGGACAAAGTCATCACATAGTCAAATGACGCAAAAAATTTTAAAAAAAGTCGGAACGATCTTAACAAAAATCCAATTTTCTTGAATATTTTTTGTATCCTTATTTACGGTATTTGAAATTTTTGCGTGTTATATTTTTGTTAGAGATTTTAGTATACATACTATATTTTTACGTTAAAATCTAGAGGGTGTTCTAGTTAAAAAAGAATAGGGTTAGATCAAATAACTTTTAGACTTGAACCTGTATACTTATCCTGAACACCGTAGATTATTCGACAATCGACAATAAAATATTTCTGTATCTCTTTTAAAGATTCACTTTGAAACAGAACTTTTTATTTTCCCTCGTATCTGATTCTTACATCCTATATGAACAAAATTCAATTGAACAGTCATAATTTTTTATTACGGCATTCTTTTAATGCTCTTGAACAGTTGCCAAAGTGATATGTGAAAGTTCAAAGATGTACCTATTGGGTTGGGATTTGGATAATCACTGCTGGAGTATTATAGTAATGTTTTCTTTGGCGGAAATAGTACGATTATTTATTACTATTTTTTCACTGGTATGTCTTCAACCCCCCCATGCATTATCCATATTGAAGCAAGTAATTCCATGTGAATAAGGGTTATTTGTGTTTAACATACAGGGTGTTTTTTTAAGATGGACCATAGGGAAATTTACATTGCATCAATTGTTTTGGTAATAGCTTCCTCGCGAATCATCTGCCACAGTACTGTAGAAATTGTTCCTAAATTTATTCAAATCAGGTATAAAAACGTATACGATTACAAACGGTGCTCGAATTGTTTTCCACCGGCAACCAAACAATATCCGATACTCGGCACTGAATAGCTGGTATACCACTCACCTACTGTGCCCACTCTTGTACAAATTGTACTACATGAACACCTTTTCGAAAGGCGGAATACATGTTGCTGCTCCGTTGATGCAGTTTGAAGGATCAGATTGAGAACTGTCAGTGAAATAATTAAGCGCGAGGCCAAGATTTTAGAACCATTTGCGCAATGTAAATTTCCCTATGGCTCATTTTAAATAACTCAACGCCTTTACATTGCGTTATGCTAGGTGTGTACTTTCTTATTTCTATGGCCCATCTTTAAAAAAACACCCTGTATGACGTTATAGGGTTATTATTTCCAATGACTCCGATGGTTGCAAGGATTGCGAAATCTGTGAATTTTTTCATATAGCTACCCGCATGCTGGAGTTTTCAATGCACTAATTTTACAATTTACAATTTGCAGAAATTTAGTAACAATCTATGCATTCGATTTGACCTCGGATTTGACTGGGAGTGGCAATGTAGGTTCATTCGCTTAGTTCTTGAGAGCAATTTACAAAGGGAATCATACATTTATGTCTTACAGAACCGAATGAAATGAATGAAATGAAAAAAAAAACATTTTTTTTGGTTTTTCGCTAATAAAAAAATTATCAAAGTCCTCGTGTGAGATCGAAGGGACTTCAGCGCATTTTTTGTGTGGCAGATCAGTATTCTATTACCCACTTTCGACTCAACCATCAATAACAGATCTTGTCGAAGGCTACTACATTCACTAACCGCTTCCCACTTTCCGCGTGCACCCGCAATTCGCTTTTAAGGTTAAAATCGTGTCGGGAGCTACCCCATTCCCTTTGACGGTAGCCACTTCCGACGTCCCGTTCACCCGCAATTCGCTTCTATTGGCGACACGAGAAAGAGAGACAGCGATTCGAGATTTACGACACGTTAAACCGCGTGAGTTCGCAACGGAAGGTAAAAGGCGCCCGAAGTTGACTACTTTGCGCCTCGCAAAAGGTCGTTAATTTCGCCCCTAGGACAAAAAACAAAATTCCGCCACGCAGGAGTTGTGCGCGTTTACAACATCTTTCCGACGACACCAATTTGAAAAGAATCGGACCAAAACTGTAGTAGAAGATAGGAAAAAACTGAAAAACCTTCACGTTAGTATACTACGCTCGAGGATGACGCCCAGATGTCGCCAACCCCACATCATGTAGCCATGTCCCTAAGGTTGACAAATTTCACGGCCTTGTAGATACACGTATACCCGTTGCCTTTCTACAAGAGTTCTTCTACGCGCCCACATTTGCAGCCAGCCAGCCAGCCAACCAGCCAGCCAGCCAGCCAAAGTGAGATTAAAAGCTACTTTTTACAAATAAATTTGCAAAAATGCGCTAAAAATCCTGACCAACAGTTCTACGTCATTTTTGGTCATCTCGCAAAATAAGCGAGTTAGCGCGTGGATTTCGCTCCACTAAATGTGTGGCCCGCCAAAAAACAGCGATATTAAACTTTTAAACGAAGGTATAATAGGAAAACTATCGTCTACGACTCTCCTCGAAAATGACACGTTTCATCAAAGCAAGGCAACGTGAAAATGACGTATCTCGTTCACGCGTCAACAAAGTAAACAGCACACGTACTTTTTACTTTCTCATAACGTGTTGCCTATTAGAAAGTGCGTTTTGCTTTGCTTTCCACTTACAAGAGCCTGTCAAATAATATTAAAATGATGTTGACGTGTATTGCCTAATATGAATACTCTTTTAGTGGAAGTCATACGAAAGATACGTGTACGGAGTGTCCCATTTTCGACA